TGGCCAGAGCAATTAGACAGATGAAAGAAATTAAAGGATACATATAGGTAAAGAAGAACTTAAAGTATCACTATTTGCCGATGATATGATTCTATACCTAGAAGACCCAAAAAAATTTCACCATAAAACTTCTAGAACTAGTAAATGAATTCAGCAAAGTAGCAGGATACAAAATCAATGTTGATAAATCAAAGGCATTTCTGTATATCAGTGACAAATCCTTTGAAAAGGAAATGAGGAAAACTATCGAATTTACAATAGCCTCAAAAAAAAAAAATCCTTGGGAATCAATCTAACAAAACAGATGAAAGACCGCTACAACGAAAACTTTAGAACACTAAAGAAAGAAATTAAAGAGTAACTTAGAAGATGGAAAATCCCTTGCTCTTGGATATGCAGAATTAATATTGTCAAAATGACCATACTACCAAAAGCACTACACAGATTTAATGCATTCCAATCAAAATCCCAATGACATTCCTCATAGAAACAGGAAAAGCAGTCATGAAATTCATCTAGAAAAATAAGAGACTATACCAGACCTGAAGCTATGCTACAGAGCAATAGTAACAAAACCAGCATGACATTGGCACCAGAATAGACTGGTAGTCCAATGGTACAGAACAGAGGACACAGAGACCAACCCACATAAATACAGTTATCTTATATTAGATAAAGGTGCCAAAAACATACATTGGAGAAAAGATTGCCTCTTCAACAAATGGTGCTGGGAGAACCAGAAATCCATATGCAACAAAATGAAATTAAACCCCTCTCTCTCACCATACACAAAACTCAACTCAAAGTGGATCAAGGACCTAGGAATTAAACCAGAGACCTTGCGTCTAATAGAAGAAAAAGTAGCCCCTAATCTCTATCATATCAGATTAGGCCCCTACTTCCTTATTAAGACTACTATAGGACAAGATTTAAAATCAAGAATTAATAAATGGAGCTGGGATTGTGACTCAGTAGCAGAGTGCTTGCTTCCCTTGTATGAGGTACTGGGTTCAATCCTCAACACCACATAAAAATAAATAAAGGTATTGTGTCCATCTACAACTAAAAAAAATTTTTATAAAGAATAAATTGGATGTATTCAAACTAAAGAATTTCTTTTCAGCAAAAGAAACAATCAGTGAAGTGACTAGAGAGCCTACAGCTTGGGAGCAAATTTTTACCACTTGAACATCAGAGCACTAATCTCTCGGGAATATAAAGAACTCAAAAAGCTAAACACCAAAATAACAAATAACCCAATTAATAAATGAACCAAGGAACTGAAGAGACACTTCTCAGAAGGTGATATACAGTCAATCAAAAAATATATTAAAAAATTTCCAACATCTCTAGCTATTAGAGAAATGCAAATCAAAACATCTCTAAGATTTTATCTCTAGTCAGAATGGCAGCTATTAAGAATATAAATAACAATAAGTGTTGGCGAGGATGTGGGGAAAAAGGCACACTCAAACATTGCTGGTGGGACTGCAAATTGGTGCATCCATCTGGAAAGCAGTATGGAGATTCCTTGGAAAACTTGGAATGGAACCACCATTTGACCCAGCTAAACCACTCCTCGGTTTATACCCAAAGGACTTAAAAACAGCATACCACAGGGACACAGCCGCATCAATGTTTATGGCAGCACAATTCACAATAGCTAAACTGTGAAACCAACCTAGATGCCCTTCAGTAGATGAATGGATAAAGAAACTGTGGTACATATATACAACAGAACATTACTCAGGCAATAAAAGAGAATAAAATCATGCAATTTGCAGGTAAATGGATAGAGTTGGTGAAGATAATGCCAAGTGAAGTTAGTGAATCCCAAAAAACCAAATGCTGAATGTTTTCTCTGATATAAGGAGGTTGATTCATAGTGGGATTGGGAAGGGAAGCATGGGAAAATTAGATGAACTCTAGAAAGGCAAAGGGGATGGAGGGAAAGGGAGTGGGCAAGGGGTGTAAAAAAGATGGTGGAATGAGATGGACACCATTATCATAAGTACATGTGCAATGACATGAATGGTGTGAACATACTTTGTGTACAACTTGAGATATGAAAAATTGTGCTCTATATGTGTAACATGAATTGTAATGCATTCTGATGTCATATATAACAAATTAGAATATAAAATAAAATTAAAAATGTAAAAAAATAGATAATATATCAACTTTATATATATTCTTAGTACTCATCCTATGATGGGTGCATGACTTGGAGTTATTTTCAGATATTTGCATGCTTAATTTTAGCTTAAAAATTAAGTTTGAGGGCTGGGGATATAGCTCAGTTGGTAGAGCGCTTGCCTCACATGCACAAGGCCCTGGGTTTGATCCCCAGCACCACATACATGCACACAAAAAAATATAAACAATATTCTACTTAACATAATGGGGCTTGTTACTGATTTATACTCAATAAAGGTCTTAATATATAGTGTTTGTCACCAAAATTATGAGTTATTTCCAGTCAAAGGGTTTTCTCCCCACTTGTTAGATATAAGGTATAGTTATTAAAAAATATATAAAATTAGGTTTCTTAGATTCAGATATACTTTTGCAATTTTTGAACAAGGTAGGCATCTTGTGAAACTCTTCCAAGGTCATTTTTTAAAAAGTCATCAAACATTAAAGTATATGTGAGGCTTACATTAAAAACTGTACTTGAGGATTGGGTAGCTTAGTGGCAGAACAATTGCCTACTATATGTGAGGACCTTGAGTTCAATGCCCAGAAACACAAAAAATAAAATATAAATTTAAAAAACTGTAGTTCAAAGACATTTCTCAGGAACTGGATTTAATAATATGTAAAGAAGACTAAAATGAATAACTTCATTTGTAATATTAAAAAAAATCTAATGATTATACAGAAGCAGTTTTAAATTATTCTGTGGATACTTAAGGAAGATATATTTTACTTTGGAGACAAGAATAAAAATAGGAATTTCCTTTCCTCTCTGAATTATAGCCCATGCTGTACTAAGTGCTGCTAGACTTTTCATTTCATTACTGACTTTAAATAGTTTTGTGTATGTTTTTATCTAGATATTCACCATTAAGAGACGCTTTTTCAAATAGCCTATGTCTTCAGTTTTTAAGACTTTTTTTTTTTTAATCATTAGGGTTTAGGATGATTTTTTGACCCTACAACAACTAATAATAATATGATAATGGCTCATGATAGCTCTCTCTTATCTGCTAGGTATTGTATAAATCTGCATGCATTTCTCTTTTTTAACTGTTTTACGAGGTATAAATATTGTTATTATCCTATTTTGTAAGTAAAGAGTTAGGTCTCGAAAAAGCAACTAATAAAAAAAAATGAAAAAAAAAAACATGGAAGAGGAATTTGATGATTTAAACAGGAAGAAAACTGCTTATTTGGGGACAAGAGAAAAAGACAGAAGGTAAAAACACCAAAAAAGACTTTGAGATAGACAAGAAGGAAGTTAATACAATAACCTCAAAATGATCAGTAGAAGTCAGGCACAGTGGTGCATGCCTGTAATCCCAGTGACTCAGAAGGCTAAGACAGAAGGACCATACGTTTGAGGCCAACTACGTAACTTACCAAGACATTGTCTCAAAATTAAAAATAAAATAAAAAGGGCTGGGGATGGAGCTCAGTGGTAGAGCACCACTGTGTACATTCCCTGGTAATGCAAAAAAAAAAAAAAAAAAAATCAGTAGAAGATGAGGTAGCTTAGAGAGAAAGGAGGGTGGTATCAGCCACTCAAGGACAGCAGGGAAAACTCTGACTTTTACATAGTTTTGATGTTTAGGCATCAATGCCATGTGACTCACTGGATTTTTCTAGAAAGTGTCACTTTATTCTATGCCATGGACCACACCTATAATCTCTACCTGAGTGGTCAAGATGGTTCAGGACCAGTGTGGATAGATCAGCACAAAAATCCTACCACCACAACTGGAGAGAAGAGAGAGCACAAGCCTTCCAGATAATTGTGAATGTGTACTGAGGCCTGGCTCCATACCAGGTGCTGTGTTGCATGCTTGACTTAAATTATCTCAAGTGTCTATTTTAGGATTTTTTGAGTGTATGACACAAGTAATAATACACACAAACGTATATTCTCCTTTGTTTAAAAGGAGAAGTTGCCAGTACATGAGATAAATAATTCAGTTAGAGATTCACTCTTTCTCTTTGGTGTATCATGGTTCAGACATTTTGCTTTGCATCGTGTTATGGTCATGTATAAAGGTACACAAAAGGTATCTATGCAACTTGTTATTTTCACTTTGTAATATATAATGAGTATATTCCCATGCAAGAAAAAGAAAAAGTTCAAGGTCAGTAAGTAACAGAGACAAGATATTTGAGTAAAGTTTTCTAATTCCAAGAAACACTTGTGCTTAACATTTATTGATAAACTGTACTGATGGTTGCATTAACCTCAGTTATCAACAAACAACTGTAGATACTGGACAATTATTTGTTAGGAAAGCACACCAGTGTATTTTTCAAGGGATTTTTAACAGCAGGAATTAAGTCAGTGGTTTGGTAATATTCTTTTAACCAATTAATTATCATTACCCTGCCTTAAAGGATTTTTAGTAATCCTTATTTTTTGTTTGCTTTTTTTAGTGTGATTTGCAGTTATCTATGTCATAGTGTTAATTTTTACTAATTTCATGGTGGTTCATAAGGAGTTGGACAAAGCAAAGTGTCTCTCCACGCACGTTTTATAGTGACTCTATTTAGAACCTAAAATAGGCAGTTCTTGATGATGTTCTTTTGAGAGATGTATTTGCTTTATTCTGATTCTTAAATCATTGCATATAGACTTCATATACACATACATATATTTTAAGAATTAGTTCCTCCTTGTATGCCAAGTAGGATGAATTAAGAAATAGATTATGAATCACAATTTACCATCTTGTGCTTGCTTATTCTTATATGAATGTTTTGATGATAATTACATAGGCTAACATAAATAATCCTAATAGTTTATATCCCTCTTACAGATTTTATTAAACAAAGGAGAGCAGGACTGAATGAGTTCATTCAGAACTTAGTCAGATACCCAGAGCTTTACAACCAGTAAGTAATTTTTATTATGTTCTAAAGAGACAGTGAAATGAAACCTAAAAATATTAATAAGCCTCAGACAGATTTTATCCTATGAAATGTTATTGTGCTATGTATGTTTGTAAAATCTTCCTGAAGCATTTCCCTTCTTGTTTTTATTTTGTTTGTTTTTTTGGCAATGCTGGGAAATAAACCCAGGGCCTTATGCATGCCAATGCCAGGCATTCTACCACTGAGCCTCATCCCCAGCCCCTCCTCCTGTTGTGTCTTATCCTCTTTCCCTTCAACAACTTGTCTTAGTGATTTTCTTCCTTTCTTTTGTTCTTTATAAATTTATAAATTAAACTTGAAAGAAATTTGCATGATACAGTTAAAACATTTTGCTAATTATTTGATATTTATCCCTGCCTTCAAAAAATATTTAAGTACCCACTATATACATTGGGAATATAAAGCTAAATGAACACTGTCCCTGCCTTCTAGTGGTTCTATCTAGTGGAAGAAACAGATAGAAATAGGGAACTGAAGCCAGGTAATTTTTATGATAGAGATGCTAGAAGATAATAGAAAAATGTGATCTGCTGTGCTCATGGACCTGAAGGATGTGTAATCATCCAAAAAAGAACACAAAGATAGGGAGAGCATTCAAGCCAAATGGAGTGTTACCTATTAACAGAGGATGCAAAAGCCTGAAACATCAAGATGTTAAAGTATTTACATTGCATGGTACCTGGAACAAAATAGATTTTCAGAAAGTAGATGAAACTGAAGGCATTGGCAGGATTCAAGCACATATTGTCACCATGTTCTCTGCTACCACCACAGGCTTCCAGCCCTCATCACAGTATTCCATGCAGCCATGTAAGATGAAGGTATTACCTAGCCCTGTGTGTATCTTGTGCTAATGAGTTTAAGTTTCCTTCTGTAGGCCAGCAGCTCCAGATGAGGGGAGGAGGTAGGTCAGAAATACTTAGGAAATGATAGGCAGAACTGTGGTTTCATTTGTTTCTTAATTTTTAAGCCTGATGGTTTATTCTTGGGCATTGATTGTGTTGTGATTTGTAGCTTATATGTGTGTATAATCCCAACTAATCTGGAGGGCTGAGGCAGGAGGATTACAAGTTCAAAGCCAACCTCAGCAATTTAGTGAGACCCTTTTTCAAAATTAAAAATAAATAAGTAAGTAAATAAATAAATAAAAAGGGCTAGGGATGTACCTCAGTAATAGAGTACCCCTTGTTCAGTATCCAAACAAACAAACAAACAACAATAAAAAAAGAAGAAGAAGAAGAAAAAGAGGATAAAATAAAATATCAGGGAGCTTTTTACATTACACAGATAGGTTCAGATCACCTATTTGTGTAATGTAAAAGTTGCATTTTTACATTGACAATGTTGAACAGGATAAATGTTTATCAGATTTTTCAGAATCTCAACACTGAAGAACTATATTTTTGAGCAGTTTTAATTTTTGTGTCTGTGGTATGGTGAATTAAACCCAAGGCCTTGCACATGCTAGATAAGCACCCTACTGCTCAGCTGCATTCTCAGCCCTGAGCCATTTTTCTAAAAATGACGATTGCCGTTTATATAGTACTTTACAGTTCATGGAGGACTTCTTCCATTCTGAGTAAGTGCTCTGATCTTTTTAAGCTTATTTTAATTTACTAAATTATTTATTTAATTTACTAAATTAACCAAAATATTATGACTGGACCCCGTCTGACATGATCTGCCTATGGCTATGTTTCCCCCTCATAATCACAGAACAAGGTTCATGGAGGTCCTGCTCTTGTAGTAGTAGCACCAGGATTGCCAGTGCAGTAAAAACAGTGCTTTTTATTTCAAAGTTGAAGAGCATTCTTTGAGAGTTCCCATGTCAGGACTATTCCTCTGCAACGAGCCTTTTATTATTTGGTTCTTTGTATATATATTTTTTTAACCTTATGCCATTTCCCTAGCACAAGTTTTATGTTGTCTTCATTTTGTATCTACTCTTCCAACCCCTAATTTTTGCTGTATGCAGGGGAGATTTCTTTAAATTGGCATATCAGTGGCAAGTGTTAGTCAAAACTTCCAACAACTAAATGCTGAGTATTCATTCTGGCCCTTGAACTGTGCCATTATAAAGATTTTAATGTTTAGCATCAAAATTAACTAAAAACAATTTTGTTATTTTTAATTACCAATTTTAAAAATATTGAACTGTAAAACACATAATTTGTAAGTATGCAACCAATGGATTTTTTTTAAAACATACACCTGTATACCTTGTAACTCTGCCATGCCATTCAGGATAGTAAGACATGAACAGCACCCCAAAAATAAGTAGCCAAGAGTTTTTTAAACTTAATTATTTTTTCCTTTTTGCACTTCCTCCCTTCCTTTCTTATGCCATTAACAAATCTTTTGTTACACAATGTGCAAATATTGTGCTGGTGATATAAAATTATTTATATAATGTATTAGCATTTAATGCTAACCAAGGCTGAAAGAGTCTTTAGGATGTTCATATACTGTTAAGAGAGAATAAATTGGTACAGCCCCTTTGGAAATCAGTTTAACAGATTATATTTGAAGTCTTAAAATTGTTTATAATTTAGACCAAGTGTTTTTAATTTTAAAAATCTATCCTGAAAATCATAAATTCAGTTCTAGGATTTGGCACAAAGATTGTCAGTTGTAACATTATTTGTAGTAGTGAAAATTGTGTAGTAAAAAGTTGGAAGCCACTATGTATCCTAAAGTGGAAAAATTTGAATAACTTTCAGTGCATCTGTATTTTACATCATACATCTATAAAAACTCATTGTTTACAAAGAGCTTTTAACAACACAGGAAAATGTTTTTGCTGTAATTTTTAAGTAAAAAACAGTAAGATACAAATTTTCCAGAGAAAAACACCAAATTAAAGTTTGCCAAAGTGTTTAATAGTGGTGGCCTCTGTGTGTTAAGATTGAAGATCCTTTTCTCACCTTTAATTTTTTTTTTTTAATGGTAACAGGGATTGAACCCAAGGGCATTTAAACATTGAGCCTCTATCTACTTTTTATTTTTTATTTTTTGAATATTTATTTTTTAGTTGTAGATGGATACAATACTTTTATTTTACTTATTTATTTTTATGTGGTGCTGAGGATCGAACCCAGGGCCTCTCATGTGCTAAGTGAGCGCTGTACCACTGAACCACAACCTCAGCCCCTTATTTGTTATTTTGAGACAGATCTCACTAAGTTGCTGAGGGCTTCACTAAGTTGCTGAGGCTGACTTTGAATTTGCAATCCTCCTGCCTCAGCCTCCTATTAGCTGGGATTATGTACCACCATACCTGGTTAAAATTGTTGACTGAGATAGAATTCACTATTTTAACTATTTTAAATTGTAGAATTCAGTAGTTTTTAATATATTCACAATGTGCAACCATCATTACTGTCATCCCAAGTTTAATGTGACGTTTCTACCACCCCGCAAAAGGAATACCTCCACATTCTTTCTTCCTCCAGTTCTTGGCAACCACTAACCTACTTTTTAATCTCTAAAGACTGCTGATCTGAAACATTTCTATATATTTTTTGTTGTTGTTGTAGATGGACACAATATCTTTTATTTTATTTCTTTATTTTTATATGGTGCTGAGGATGGAACCCAGTGCCTTACATGTGCGATGCAGATGCTGTATCACTGAGCTAACCCCAGCTCCTCTTTCCAACTTTTATTTTGTGGGGTGCGTACCAGGAATTGAATTCAGGGACACTTGACCAATAAGCCACTTCCCCAGCCCTATTTTGTATTTTATTTAGAGACAGGGTCTCACTGAGTTGCTTAGCACCTCGCTTTTGCTGAGACTGGCTTTGAACTCGCAATCCTCCTGCCTCAGCCTCCCAAGCACTGGGATTACAGGCATGCACCACTGTCTTGGCTCTTACCAACTTGATATTATTATCTTTCTAACTTTTGCCAGTTAATGAATATAAAGTGTTACTTCATAATCATTTAATTTGTATTTCTCAGATTTCATAGTAAAGTTAGCATCTTCACAAATTTGCTTGGTGTTTGGGTTTCCTCTTCTATGAACTGATTATATCTTTGATATTTGTTGTGGTCCCTGTTTATTAAAAAGTTAATTTAATTATTCCTTTTACAATAAAGAATTTTAATACATTTTGCTTAGCTTTCTTGTTATAAATGCTAAAATAGTGATTTCTCTTTTGATTTTTAAAGTGGAGAAAGTCTCTAGACATGCTTTCAAGCTCATAATAAAATTAATTTTTGTTTTTAGTCCAGATGTCAGAGCATTCCTTCAAATGGATAGCCCCAGACATCAGTCAGATCCATCTGAAGATGAGGATGAAAGAAGTACTCAGAAGGTAGTAAGAGAAATTATGGTTTTTTTTTTAACAGAAAAATTACTATTCCCCCAAAATGAAATTAGCTACTTTAGGATGACATTTATTCAAAAGGAAGTCATTTTGTGCATAGATTTTTATCTGTAGTAGATTTTCTTACTCTTGAGGATTCCAAATCCAAAAAACAATATATATACCAATTACTGATCACTATTTCTTAGAAAATGCACTATTTCTTATAAAATACTTTTTATAGTAAACAATCTAATGCAAGTTAAAGAAAAATTTGAAAATAAAAGGTAAGAAGAAAAAAACTACCCATATTATTGCCACCCAGACCTAGTAATTTTAACATCTTAATGATTTTCTTTTCAGAGTTGTCTTAATGTGTAAGATTTTTTAATTTGTCTAAATTACATAGTGTGTATAACTTTATATTCTGCTTTCTTCAGTTTATATAATTTTTTTTTACCATTGTATATATTTGTCATCATCATACCTGAAACTATTGTTTTGAATTTTGGTCAGCAGGAAGGACCTTATTCAACAAAAATATATATCCCTTCCTTGGCATTGTCAGGGTTTTTTGTATAAAATAGTATACCTGTATCAGTTGGCGTTCACTTGTATATATTTATTTTTTTAAACACTTTAAAAAAATTTTTGTAGTTGTAGATGGACAGAATGCCTTTATTTTATTTGTTTATATATTTATTTTTTATGTGGTGCTGAGGATCAAACCCAGTGCCTCACGCATGCTAGGCAAGTGCTCTGCCACTGAGCTGCAGCCCCAGCCCTCCACTTTTATTTTTGTTCTATATATACATAGTCATCAGGCATCTCCAATAATTAGGCTATTCTTAATTTTTATAGTAGATTGAGATAGCAAATAAGTAAAATAAGCTTGTGTCTTATGAAGATATTTCCCACATTTACCTTTGAAAGCTATGGGTAAAGGTAAATTATGATAATATAATAACAAATTCTATATAAATAAGATAGTACCTTTATAATTCAGAATTTATTAACTATTGAATATGTATAAGAAACTTAGAAGAGTTTTATTGAAGTCATTTTTCTTTATAGTGTCTTTTAATTGTGTTATGGTTCTACTTTGGTGTTTTAAAAGATAATAGTATGAGGGCTAGAGTTGTAGCTCAGTGGTAGAGCACTTGCCTAGCACCTGTGAGGCACTGGGTTCCATCCTGTGCACCACATAAAAATAAATAAAGGTATTGTGTCCATTTACAACTAAATTTTTTTTTTTAAAAGATAATAATGTGAATTGGAACATTAGAGCTAAAGTCTTGGAAAATAGACATATTTCTTTTATGCGACTTCTTTTTAGCATTTTTAGTTTGATATTTTTTATTGATTTTTTTAAATAAATGACAGCGGAATGCATAATAATTCATAGAAAGTAATATTTTTCCTTCTCTGATGCCCCAGGAGAATTCCCAGTTAAGAGAACAGAGTTAACTCTGGCATCTCTGACATGGTTGCTCCTAGGACAATGTAAAAGAATATTTTTATTTTATCTCCATGTACCTAGTCAGGAAACAACAGCAACAACAAATGGGGAAACATTTGCATAAGAAGAAAAGGTTTTTCCAACTTTGATGCTAATAGAAAATGAATTTTATTGGCTTTTGTGTGAGTGAGAGAAAGAAAATATTATGCTGGAGATTGAATCCTCAGTCTCACATATGCTAGGCAAGCACTGTACCACTGACCTATCCCCAGTCCATGAATGAAACTTTTAAAGGAGAGATTTTTATTTCTCTACCTAATTAACAAAAGTATAAAGTAAATAAAATGCTGCAGGACTGATGAAGACAGGTACAACAAGAACCATTGGGCATTACTGGTGTCATTATGATTTTATGCAACTCTTCGGGAAAACAATTCATTATGTATCAAGTTTTTATTTGATTCTATTCACTTAGGAATTTATGCAAATGAATTCCTTACACAGGGAAAAAAGGATGCTATTTCAGTATGATTTATATAAACATTAAAATCAATTTTTATTATCAATCAGATAGCTTCTCCACATATGATTATGTATTTTAAAGAATTTTAAGGTAATATTTTAATCTTTTAAGGTAATATTTTAATCTTTGGCATGCTATTAAGTAAATTCAGTATGTAAAAGTTTGATGAAAAAAACTATATACATATTCACACAGCATGAACAACAATCAGTTTTAAATAGATATACAAAGACTTAAAAATGAAATTATTGTAAATATTTGCAGAATCATCTGTTGGTAAGGTTGTAGATATTTAAAAACATTTTTTCTAGTATTTTTTGTGTATTCCAATTATGGATTTATACTTTAATTTTAAAAGATTAAACTATTTAAATAATATTTTAAGAATAAAATCCATTATATCTGGGCATAGTGGCACATGCCTATAATCCCAGCAGCTGAGAAGGCTGAAGCAGGAGGATCACAACAGGTTCAAAGCCAGCCTCAGCAAAAAGCAACTCACTGAAACTCTGTCTCTAAATAAAAATACAAAAAATACAAAAAAGGACTGGGGATGCATAGTGGTTGAGTGCCCCTGAGTTCCATCCCTGCTACAGAAAAAAAAAAATTATTGTAACTATGATTTTCCATATTTTGCTTGCTACTTATGTGAGCATATTGCTGGTTTAAGTCATTTGGAAAATGTAATTATTTATTAAAAACATTTAGGTGGATAACTAAATGAAGTTCATAGCTGGAAGATATCTTGGAGGACATCTGGACCCCTGCTCCCTTATTTAAAAGGAGAAATAGAGGTTAAGAGAAGTCAAGAATGATTTCATGATTTTATGATTTCATTTAGTCTTCATTCTATTAATATACTGTACTCACAATTTAATGATTTGATGTCATCTTTTAAAAATAGGTATGTAGGGCTGGGGTTGTGGCTTAGTGGTAGAGCTCTTGAGGCACTGGGTTCAATTCTCAGCACCACATATAAATAAGTAAATAAAATAAAGGTCCATCAACATCTAAAATATTTTTAAAATAGGTATGCATGTGTAAGGCCCTGGGTTCAATACCAAAAAAAATAATAATAAAGAAAAATTATTTTCATCATTTTAGGAATGTACTCCACTAATAAAGTTGTTGCCAAAAAGTTAAATTTCTAACTATATATTAATTCAGGGGACAAATTGTTTGTTATTTAATCGACATTTACTTCTCTGACATATGAAAAAAATGTTTCATTGAATGGAAAAATGATCCAGTTATCTGTACATTCACGAAAAGAATAAGTGTATTGAGATTTAAACGTTGTTTGAATTATGTTGTGGGGTGCTCTGCAACACTAATATTTAAATATAAAAAGTTACTCTCGTGTTACAATTATGCCACTACAGAGCAGGTCTCCTTTAATGTACCTCAGAGTATTTATACATTTTTTCATCTTTTGCTATTTTGATTTCTGGGAATTGAGAATTTATTACATGAAGATTTTTCATATAAAGGTATTGGTAGGAAATAAATTTTAATTGTAACTATAAAGCCAGTGCCAATGTTGTTTTTTCATAAGAAACTTACTATACTTCAGAACTTTAAAGAGGTGATAGTATTTGCCATTAAATTTAAAAATACTGTCTTCTGAACATTATAAGTTTGAAACGAATTTAAATAAAAATATGTATAACATGTGTCTCTAAAAGAAATTTAGTAAGATAAAATGTTTTTAGTTCTGATTAGAGAGGAAATTTTAAAAGCTTTGTTCCTATTTATAGCTTATACGAAATGCAATTATATAGGACTCTTGTAAAAGTATACATACTTAGAGCATTTATAACTAATTTAATTCTCTAAATATATAAAGAACTTCAAAGAGAATTTGAAGCATAATTTACCTGTACTTGGCTTTTGTGAAATACGTCTACTTTGGACTGGGATTGTAGCTTGCTGAAGGAGCATATGCTGGAGGCACTTGGTTTGATCCCTAGCATCACAAAACAAAACACTCACTCTGACATGATCACTAGATTAATCTTTCAGAGTTTTGAGCTAAATTTCTCGTGAACTATTACTAATGAGCCAGAATCTTTTATTAGTTAAACTGCTTTATGGCATGTTAGGTGAGTATAGGTTTGTTTCAAAGTTAATACCAGAAATTAAATTTACTATATTAATGGTTGCGAAGAGAATGGCCTATTTAAAATTTTGCTAAAACTGTGATGCTGGAATCAGAAAAATACTGTTGTCTGTATTTGCTTTAGAAATCAATTTACTGATCATCAAATTAAAACTGAAAACCCAATATTGATAGTCATCATTGCCATAATCCTATCACTTTCTGTATTATTAATGAACTATTTAAAAATTTGAAAAACAAATAGCCTTTTTAAACCAGTTTTCAAAATGTGAAAAAGATTTCCTCTTAAATTATAGTTTCAGTGCCCATCTCTTTCAAGCAGTTTTCTTTGCTTTTACTGCATTCATTTGCCAACTTTATGATTGATTTTTGGCTTACCTTTTTCCTTAACAACTGCTCTTGAAAGTTATGATGAAATGATTATTTATATTGTTCCCAAATACATATGTGCAGTTATTAAGAATTTTGTACTTTATAATAAAGTTTCTTTAACATATACTGATAGCTATAATAATTGACTGATAATCTTTGAAACTCCAATAAGAATGCTATTGTTTTTTTCTCCCCATTCAAACAGCTACACTCTACCTCACAGAACATCAACCTGGGACCAACTGGAAATCCTCAGTAGGTTTAATTATTTCAAGCAATCTTTTGATGACATTTTAGGAAGATCTTCTTTAAGAGCATGAAGATATATGTAAATTATACCAGTTTAACAGAGGGGGGCTATAATATATGACTGTAATTACAGTGAAAATAGTACTATCATATGCTTGACTCACCTAGTGTTCTAGTTTTTCATTGCTTTCAGTAGAGCCCTTCTAAAGGGCTATTTTTTTTAACCCATAAGTTGTTAATTAGATTTTGTCATTTTCACTGTTCTGATTGTGTGTGTGTGTGTGTGTGTGTGTGTGTGTAAAAAATCAGTTGACCATATTTTCCAACAGACCATAGGTCCTGTGGGGTATTCTTCGGAGGGGTGGAAATTGTCACAGACTGAACTGGTATTCATCTGATACTCAGTGTTGTTGGTGCACCCTAGTTGTTAGCCAACTTGTTCCTTAGGTGTCACTAATGTTAAAAGGTTTTAAACTTTGTCTGATTTCTCTCATATTTCCATATTTATCTGAGCACAGGGGAGACATTTTAAAGAACACATTCTGAGAAATGTTGAACAGGACCAGAGATGGCAAATAGAGACACCATCTTGAGAACACACAATACAAAGGATTCCAGGCTGCTGCCTGAGTCAGTTTGATAAGCACCCAGATTGATTAGTGATGTCTGTAATGGATTAGAGGAAGAATGTAGTATTGTCATCCTAATTTGGATTAACTCCACAGCAATCTTTTATCCCAGGACACATTGCTTTCTCTACCCTTTTCTACCAGGAGAGTGAGTATATACTGATGGAAGAAGTGAACCAAGGATTAGATCCTGGGATACTTCAACATCATGAGGTCAGGGAAGAAACTGGTAATGGAGAACAAGAAGTCAGGAAGGTAGGAGGAAAACCAGGAATGTGGTGTCCTAATGTCAGAAGAAGAGAATGTCTCAAATAAGAGGGAGTAATTAAACTCCATTAGTATTGCTGATAGGGCCAGTTAGATAAAGACTGAAAATTGACTACTGGATTTAGTAAATCATTGGTGATTTTTGTGAGCAGTCTCAATGGTGTTGGGCACAAGACCTTGATAGGGAAAGGGTTTACAAGAGAACTAGAGAAGAGGACAGCAGTATAGACCACTGCTGGAGGAGTTTAGAACACATACTAGGGCTAAGGGTTGCTGCAAAGGAAACCAAAGAAAGGGAATAGAAAAGGAAGTTTTAGTTCTGAGCATTCTTTGCTGTCATTCATAGCATTGAACAAAATGTCATAACAAAATGGATATTTGCTTTCAATTAAGAGTTCCTTACCAACAGTTAACCATGGGACCTTAGCCTCTCTGCTGTGGGATTTCATTTTGTACTGTTACATTTGTTTGCTTTTGATGGCCCCTGCCATGTCCCATCCCACTCCTACCATACTGGGCATTAAATCCAGGGACCCTGTACCACTGTGCTACATCCCCAGACCTATTTATGTATGTATTTATTTATTTATTTTTGAGATAGGATCTCACTTGCTGAGGCTGCCTTGAACTTGGAATCCTCCTGCCTCAGCCTCCTGAGTCACTGAGATGACAGACGTGTTCCACCAAGCCATCTTTGCTTTTGTTTAAAAAATTATTTTAATATTTTAGCATATCAAGATCAAATCAGTCCAAAGACAGGTTTTTAAAGAAGAAAAAAAATCTAAATTTAGTTAAATATTTAACTCATTAAACTTTTCCTGTTACTATTTAACCTTGTCCTGGTGATATTCTCAGCTATGAATTGACTTTTTATTTTTGTGTGTATGTGCTACTGGGGATGATACCCAGGGGTGCTTTACCACTGAGCACTACATCTATAGCCCTTTTTATTTTGAGACAGGGTCTTGCTAAATTGCTTAGGCTGGCTTCAGACTCGTATTTCTCCTGTCTCTGCCTCCCAAGTCACTGAAATTACAGTCGTGTACCACTATGCTGGGCTGTCTTTTTTTTTTAATTTTAATCAGTTGATGGAAATTTCAAATCTAAATAGAATTATTCCCTTTCTTTAGTACAACTTAGTAATTCAGACTGTCATGAAAGAAATAGGTCTTCTGGCTATTTAAGCTCAACTTTCTGCTGTTCATTGTGTATGCTTACATATAGCCAGTGCTCTTATTACCTGATAGTTTAAAATAAACAAAAGGACAATCTTGGTATTCTCTTGGCTTTTCTGTTCCTATCTTTCCTATATAAGCATTCAAGAGAATGAGCTTTTAACTTTAATGTAAAATACGTGATTTTTATGTAAAACTCTTAATATAAAGACTTCACTCTAAAGTTTTCTTTGCATCTTTACTAGGTGTTGCAACTGGTAATTTTTTTTTCAAAAGAATTGTCAAGCAGGGGCTGGGGTTGTGGCTTAGTGGTAGCGTGCTCATATGCAGGGCGCTGAGTTTGATCCTCAGCACCACGTAAAAATAAAATAAAGGTTGGGGCTGGGGATGTGGCTCAAGTGGTAGCGCGCTCGCCTGGCATGCGTGCGGCCCGGGTTCAATCCTCAGCACCACATACAAACAAAGGTTTTGTGTCCGCCAAAAACTAAAAAATAAATAATAAAATTCTCTCTCTCTTTCTCTCTCTCTCTCTCTCTCTCTCTCTTTAAAATAAAATAAAGGTATTGTGTCCAACTACAAAAAAAAAAAGAATTGCCATGTAGTCCTTGGAGTATATAATATATGGTTATTTAGTTTCCTTATTAACAACATTGGTGAGGCTCATGGTTAATAAAATTGACAGAAGCTACTTTGAACTCACAACTGTGTGTGTGTGTGTGTATGTGTGTGTGTATTCTGTTTAGAGATATATCTCCATCCTTTTCTCCCAAAGAGAATATTATTGAAGTCCCTCTTAAATAGAACTTAATGGGACTTATAAAAAGGAAGGTATAAAATATTTTATGTAATCAGAAAGTAGATATTATTACTTACATAAAAAGATGAAATAATACTAGTATAAAAAACAGGAATCGCCATACGTAAGTATCTTGAACCTAAATTTATTTATTAAAGAATGTGGTGCTAGGTGAAAGCACATGAAAGGGAGTACAAAAAGAAACAGAAGGGGCTGGGGTTGTGGCTCAGTGGTAGAGTGCTCACCTAGCATGTGCAAGGCCCTGGGTTCGATCTTCAGCACCACATAAAAATAAAATAAAGATATCGAGTCAGTCTACAACTAAAAAATATTTAAAAAGAAAATGGAGGCAGGCCTCAGGGACCAGCACCACAGGGGCACATCTGAGGGGGGAAAAGCCAGTGGGCCACCACAGGGGGGCTACCACAAGGGTCTGGGTTTTTAGCAGAGCCAAATCACTGGAGGAGTTAGTTATTTTGGGCAGGCAGGGCCAGGTCATGGGAGCAGTTTTGGTGGCGGCATCTTTTAGGGCTGGGTGGGGCAGGGCAGGTAGGGGAACAGTAAGGGAAGTTCTTCAGGGCTTATTTTCCATATCCTTCACTAGGAAATGTTTAAGTTAACATCTTTCTAATTTGTAGGAGGCTAATTCTTGTCATTGTTGATTTATTTCAGTGCGAAGCCAACTGACTTTGATTTTTTAAAAGTTATTGGAAAAGGCAGCTTTGGCAAGGTAAGAATGTTTTTGTTTTGTCATTCAGTGAATAAGTACTTAAGAAATGCATTTTGGGGCTGGGGATATAGCTCAGTTGGTAGAGTGCTTGTCTTGCATGTACCAGGTCCTGGGTTCAATCCTAGCACCCAAAAAAAAAAAAAAAGAAAGAAATGCATTCTTATATGTGTGAGCCATAGGACTTTTTTGTTTGAAGGATATGAAGTTAAGATTCATTCCTACAAATAGGAAAGATGTTAACTTAAACATTTCCTAGTTAAGTGATAACAGAATAATTAAGGAAATAAGCCATCTACTCAATTTCTAAAATAAAGTTTATTTATTGAACAAGTATTTGTTGAGTACCTACTATGTGCCAAGTACTCATGTGGGCACTGTTTAGATACTGTTGAAAAACCTGACATGTTTACTACTTTTGTGATGCTTACCAGCTAGTGGGGAAAATAGTCCACTAAAATTTTTTAGTCATAGCTGGGGATAGTGCATGTCCGTAATTCCTGCTATCTGGGAGACCGAAACGGGGGATCCAAAGTTTTGGCCTGTCTCAGCAATTTAGTGAGACCCTGTATCAAAATAAAAAGTAGAAAGGGCTAAACAGAGCTCAGTGATAGAAGTCCCCTAAGTTCAGTTTCCAGTATCAGAAAAAAAATTTTGCTATCAAGTGAACATAAACAGTAAAGGGCAATGATAGAAATGAAGACTAGGGTGAAGTGACAGAGGAAAATAGGGCAGCTATAGGGGGGATCTCTACTTAGATGTATCCATCAAGGATGGTGTCTTTGAAGATATGCTATTTAAACTGAAGCTAGAAAGACAAAAATAAGCATTTGTAAATAGGAGTTAGAGAAGGGAAGGAATGTGCAAAAACCCTGCTTATTCTTATACAGTATCACCTGAATTGTTGAACTGTACTATGGAAGGAGAACCACTTAAGGTTACCAGGAAAAGTGTCATAGATAATTTAACAAAATCATCTAATATATTTAAGGGCTTTTTGCATTATTTTTCAATCTGTAGTAAAAATGAATATGTATGTGTTTATTTATATTTTGGTGTCTGTGGTCGTCTATTTTTTTAATTCCCTTGAGACCAGAAACTGACCAATTAAACCCATGTGTATTTATTCATTCACCAAATATATGTTGACCAATTTCTATATGTTGGGCATTATGCTACTATTAAGCAACAGAAAGCTAGAAGGATTACTCTAAAAATGCTTGTAATCTGTTGGGATGCTAGTCTGTCATTAAAAACAAAAGCATTAGCCAGGATCTGTGATGAATGCCTGTAATCCCAAATACTCGGGAGGCCAAGTCACGAGGATCGGTAGTTCAAGGCCAGCCTGTATAATATTGTGAGACCCCCTTCCCATCTCAAAAACAACAACAACAAAAAAGGCATTGTGTTTTGGAAATATCATTCTTAGATCTAGAGTCAAACAGAATTCATTCTTGCATATAATGTGAGGTATAGAGTCACAGCTCATTTCTTTCCATGTGGATATTTAGCTGATTCTTGCAGAATGTATAAAAAGATCATTCTTTCCCCAGTGATCTGCAGGGTCACCTTCATCGTGTATTCAGTGTTCACATATGTACAGATCCATATTTAGATTTTATAGTTTGTATTTCTGTTTCTAGATTTTATATTTTGTTCCCTTGATCCTGATACCAGTGTCACATTGTCTTGACAACTGTTGCTTAATATCCAACAGAATAAGTTCTTTAATCCTTGTTCTTCTTCAAGAGGCCATTCTTAGCCTTTCTACATATCTGTATAAATTCTAGAGTCCTGTCAATTTCTGCAAAAAATCAGTTGGAATTTTATTTGGATCAGATTGAATCTATAGATAAATTTGGGGAGAATTGGCATCTATAACATTGAGTCTTTCAATCCATGATCATGTTGTAATCTTGTTATTTTAGTTTATTTTTAAGTTTTCTTCAATAATATTTTAGTGTTCTCTGTAGAATCTTTTACACATATCTTTAACTAGATTTATTCCTAGGTGTTTCTTTTTGATACTGTTGAAACATGGTTTAAATTATTGAAGCTGAATATAGGCATTACCTGTGAAACATTTGTTCTTTGCTTAGCTCTCTAAAAGAAATGCATGTACACTTGGAAAAGCATGTACAAACATGCTTGTAGAATCATTATGCGTGACCAATCTAAATAACTATAGATGAAATAGTGAATACATATTGTAATGGAATATTCTGCATAGCCATGAAAACTATGTTACCTGCCACAACATGAATGAATATTATATAATTTGGAGTCAAAGAAATAAAAAACAGACAATCTTATATGTTTAATTTCAGTTACATAAAATTTTTAAAAGGACAAAACTTAGCAATTATCGCAAGTTGAGATAGTGGTACTTACCTTGAGGAGGAGGTGCACGAGTTATGACTGGAGTGGGGCAAGAAGGCTTCATGTTACTTATGTGTTTTATTTGACCTGGATAGTGGTTACACATAGATGTATTCACTGTAAAAAATTTATTGAGCTGTGCTGACCTTGTGGGTTGTTCTATACATATGCATATTTAATAAAAATTTTAAATCTTACAAAATGGCAGTGAGGTGCAATAAACCAAAGAATAAAAATACACAAATAGAAGGAAAAGCAAACATGAAAACTTACATTCTACTGGAAAAATACGTAATAAACTGAAAATAAAGGTAGTCCAGTTTGTCTATTTGACTTCTTAACCAGTGTGTTGTCCAAATCTGTCAACCTACTGAAAAATTGGCCTAGGTATTCTAATTGCCACATTCCTTGAAGTATTTTCTGGGAATGAATTGAACATGAACCATTTGAAATACTGGAGAAGGAAAGGCCAAGCAGGTGGTAGTTGTCAAGAAGAGGAAAAAAAGTTTTAAGAAGTAACATTCAACAGAGTCAAATGCTATCAAGAACTAAAAACTGAGAAATGCGAAAAATGCAGTTGAGCAGTGGACATTTTCATACTGAAGATATTTTGACTCCATCTTTATGAACAAAACCTTTTTTTTTTTTAGTTGTAATCAGACACATACCTTTATTTATTTATTTATCTATTTATTTATTTTTATATGGTGCTGAGGATCAAACCCAGTGCCTCACACATGCTAGGCGAACACACTATCACTGAGCCACAACCCTGCCCCTGAACAAAACATTTTTAATAATAGACCTTATTGTATTTTATTAAGAGACCAAAGAACAGTTTTAGACATAGAGAAAAATTGAGCAGAAAATAGAGAATTCCCAGTGCTTCCCAATGCAGTTTGCCCTCTTATTAACATTGTATATTTGTATGGTACATTTGTCACAATTAATAAACTAATATTGACATTATTAATAGAAGTTTGTAATTTGTTCACATTTCCTTAGTTTTTGCCATGTGTCCTTTTTCTGTTTCAAGATCCTATCCAAGGGGCTGGGGTTGAGGCTCAGTGATAGAGCGCTTGCCTGGCATGTGTGAGGCACTGGGTTCAATTCTCAGCACTACCTATAAATAAAATAAAAGTCCATTGACCACTTTAAAAAAAAAAAAAGATCCCATCCAAGATAACACATTACATTTACTTCTTATGTCTCTTGGCTGTGACAACTTCTCCGACTTGCCTTTTTTTTTAATTTTTTTAGTTTTATTTGGACATAATACCTTTTATTTATTTTTACGTGGTGCTGAGGATCAAACCCAGTGCCTCTCACATGCTAGGTGAGCACTCTATCGCTGAGCCAAAACCCAGCCCTTGCCTTGTTTTCTGATGACATCAATAGTTTTGAGGATTACTGGACAAATATATTGTAGTATGCTCTACATTAAATTGTAGAATGTCCTATATATTGTGCTTGATGTTTTTCACATGTTTATACTGGAGTTACAGATTTGGGCAAAGAAGACCACAGAGGTATTAGAAATAAACTCCAGCAGTGTTGCTATTTTAGATCAGCTCAAAAAAAAAAAAAAAAAAAAAAAAAAAAAAAAAAAAAAAAAAAAAATTTGGGATATGTCTACTAATAGTTACACACCTTCAGCAGTAGAGCACTTACCAAATATGTGCAAGGCCCTGGGTTCCAGCACACATGCACACATTCTTCCTCAACTTTCAGGTGGTCTCAAATCCCTTATAGATGAGTCATACATTACCTAAGAGTGGGAACATGTTCTGATATGACTTCATCATTAAGAAAATGTCCTAGAAGGTACTCACATAAGCCACCTATATTCCTAAGTTATATGGTCTATACCATCATATTCGTGGTCCTTCATTGACCAAAATGTTAAGCAGTACACGACTATATTTGCAAAACTTTGAGAATGTCTTCCTTTTTCTGAGGTGAGATCTTCTAGGTTCCTTCTGACTTTTTATAGTATCTGCATGCAACCCAACCCATTGCAGAAATCAGTGATACATGGTGCTTCTTTCTCTGAACTCTTTGGAATTTAAAACCTACAAAATGAATGTAAATATAGAACAATACATTTGATAACCTAAAAATCATTTCCTGATTTTTTTTTTTTATATAGCCACGAGGTTTATATTATAGCCTCAATACTTTCTCCAGGCATTCTTCAAGACTCCGGGCTGACACACAGAGTTCTCATGCAGTGTAGATTGTGGCTCTTAAATTAATAAGATCTCATTATAGAAATGAATTCAGTAATGCTCAATTTTCAGATCAAAAACATTATCTAGATCCCTTGTGTACCTACTCTTTAGAAAATTTGAGACTTACTGGTTCATTGACAAGACAAGGGAATAATTCCTAGAAAAAGATTGAAATTTCTAATAGTTTGTACAATCTTTATAACAGGTTCTTCTTGCAAAACGGAAACTGGATGGAAAATTTTATGCTGTCAAAGTATTACAGAAAAAAATAGTTCTCAACAGAAAAGAGGTAAAATAAAATAGCTTTCATTTCTCCTGAGCCCATTTTCTTAATTAATAGAATCGTTTTCCTGGTGTCTAATACAAGTCGAACCTTTGCCTTTTTTTCCAGCAAAAACATATTATGGCCGAACGTAATGTACTCTTGAAAAATGTGAAACATCCATTTTTGGTTGGATTACATTATTCTTTCCAAACAACTGAAAAACTTTATTTTGTTCTGGATTTTATTAATGGAGGGGAGGTGAGTTTTGTAATTAGTTTTCTAATATTGATAATGGTTAGAAGAAAAAGCATAATTTTTTTGTAAGTTTTAAAATAGCAGCACATTATCAATAGCTGTTTGTTGAATAAAAACAATATTTGAGGGACAGAGTACAGTACAAGATGTGGAAAAGTGTTAACTTGGGGGCCTTAAGCATATGGCGTAGTGGGGAAGATTCTTAAAAGAAACTTATATAAATCTACAAGCCATGGATAGATTCATCACTAAGCTGTGTAGCAAGAGTGATATATTGACATTAGAATAAAACGTGGTATGTAATTAAGATAATGATCGTTTCAACAGTTTCATATAAATATCACTCCATCCTGTCATTTCTAAAATGTATAAACTATTAATCAGTGATCCTTTAATAAAAAGCCCCGTGATGAAGACAGTTGGAAAATGCTTCATGTTGTATCATCTATTTGGTCATTCATAGTGTATCAGCTTGTTAAACTTTGAGAACATCTGCCTTAAACAAAGGAGTTTTCTTTCTTTTTTATTTTTTTTTTTCTTTTATACTGGGGATTGAGCCCAGGGATACTCTACCACTTAGCTCAGCCCTTGTTTTTTTTATTTTTTTGTGATAGGGTCTCACTAAGTTGCTGAGGCTGGCTTTGAACTTGTTATCCTCCTGTCTGGGCCTCCTGAATAGCCAATATTACAAGCATGCACCACCGTGCCTAGTTTAAGTAAAGTATTTATTAAATGAAGAAAAATAATGTTTTTAAAAATATCAAAATTTCCTTTTTTGTTTGAACTAAATCTATTAATTATATTCCCCAAAACTCTGATTCAGAAGGATATTGAAATACACTTGGAAAATACTGCTAGAATAATTACAGTAATAGCTAACATGTGTCAAGTATTACTTAGGTTTCAGCACTCTGGCTCTTTGTATTATTTTATCTTAAGAACAATTTTATTATATAAGACAAACCCAGGCACAGAGAAGCCAGGTAGCTTGTTGGAATATGTGATAAATAAGAATTGGAGGCAGGAATTGAACTCAGGTGTCAGGTATTTTTCTAGGTTCTAAGTAGCTGACTACTCCTGTTCCTCTACTTCTTACCCTCATGGCTAGTTTGTTTGATCTTTGACCTGTGAATGACTCTAAAATTATTTTAACTAACAGATACTGTCATATTTTTACAAAGGAATATTTTTCCTCTGATACCAGAGGAGAGAAAGGAAAAAGGAGATTTCAGTATTAATGTGGTACATTTAACTGTAGATTAAAGAACTAGGAGGAAGATGAGTTTCTGTTCTGCAAATCTGAATAAGGATCAGACATAACCTTGGAGCAAGGTTGTAAAATGAATCTACTCAACTCTCTGCATCTATGACAAAAGTCCCTTAAGATCCAAAATAGAGACAAGATTTTAAGTCCTCCTCCAGAGATACAAATTAGCCCACATTGTTCCTACCTTGAAGGTTGTCACTTTATTTTGTGTGTGCTAAATACTAACAGATAATGAGACTTTACTGAGGACTTGGCACTTTGCAATTTACTTAAGTTTCAGGCTCTAGATTTAATCTAGACATCCTGACTGCAGAGTCTACTTTTTTTTTTTTTTTTTTTTGGTAGTACTGGGGATTGGACTCAGGGGGACTTTACCACTGAGCTACACCACCAGCCCTTTTTATTTTATTTTAAGACAAGGTCTCACTAAATTGCCCAGGTTTGCCTCGAACTGGCAATCCTCTTGCCTCACCTTCCCCAGGAGCTGGGATTTACAGGAGTGCACCACAGCGGCCAGCAACAAAGCCTTCTCTTACGTCCACCCACAGAAATATTTGTGTGAGACATGTAACTAAGGAGGAGATCCTACTGCATGTTTCCTGCTTTATCTGTGGTTTATTCATGCTGTTTTAGGACTTTACTTCTGAGCCCTTTTTACACAGTGACTGCTCATAAACTGAGTGACAGAGGTGGTAAGAGATAGGCTTGTCATCTAAAAGATGCACTTTGCTAAGAGAATGAAATAGAATGCAGTGGAGGGTGTAGGAGTTGAGTGGGGTAGGAGGCAGATGAGGAATAAAGATGAAGAGAAAGTACAGAGGCATCAGGTGCATGGTTTCTGAAAGGAAAGTGAGAAAGCAAGAGATGGGCAAACGAGAAATGAAGGACAGAGATCAGGCAGAGATCCACACAAAGATTTATTTGTCAAAGTTGACAAATAAAGGCCAACCCTTTATAGAGAGGAGAGAGGCCCCGAGATGTTCAGGTATTGAGCTTTTGTTGGGTAGGGGTTTGGAGGTGTAGCTGTGGCGCTGTGGGATAGGCTGGGGGTACTTGCATCAGAGGTAGATGGGTGAGAATAGCATGGGATTGGCTTAGGTTGATGGCACCATGGGGCTTTCCAGGGACAAGGGGTCATGTCCTTCTGGGATTGGCTTATGGTTATGGTACCATGGGGTAGGTCACTAATGGGGGTAAACTTATCTCATGAGATGGCAGTTAACATTTAAGATGGCTGCTCAAATGTTAAATCAAGACCCTATAGTTTCATCCTGTGTTCCCTACTGTTATTACTGTTATTTCCTCCTCATTTTCATACTTACACTTTAATCTTGACATGTAATATTATTTTTTGTGTACTTTCATCTCTTCAGAGCAAACTTAAATATCCAATAAGTCATATGATATTGGGTATATAAACAAGCCTTTCGGAGCTTAGCTTCCTCATTAATTTCGCAACTCAGAATTGTTGGATGGATTAAATTATGCAAGCACGGCAATTTTTTATTTACAAAGCAATCCATATGAGCTATTATTAGTGACATGGTTAGACTTTCATTTTAGTAATTCTATTAGCAATAGAATATTGAGCAAATGAGATTAGGAGATCAACAAATACAATATTCCAGTAATGTAGGCCACAGCTAGTAAGAACAGTGGTAGGGGTAAAAAAAAGAAAGTAGTCCAGAAATAATTAGATGATAAACAGAAGCTGGATACAAGGGCTAATGATAAAGGAACGGTGTAGGTAAATCCCAGGCCAGCCCCCATTTATCTTGGTCAGGATATATTATAACTGATCTTTACCACAACCTTTCAGAAGAAATTAAGATCTTTTCAAAATAATCTTTTATAATCAAAGAGGTTGAATGATTGAACACAAAAGAGAAGAGCCAGAATTTGAACCAAAATCTAATCAGCTTCAAATGCTCTTTCCACAATATCTTGTTACCTCCTGTGGCTAAGAGGGCTGAGGAGAACACAGTAGTAGCAGTAAGTCTGAGAGAAGACAAGAGTCTTTGTTTTAGACATTAAACTTATTTGCTTGTAAAATATTCAAGAAATAGTAGGAGATCTTTTCAGGAGCAGCTTCAAGCAGAGGCTTGGACTGGGAGTGTCTGTGTGTGAGACATCAACATAGAGGTGATGGGTAGAATCACTGGAATAGATAAGGTTTCCTGGGAAGGTTATTTGGAGAAAAATTAATAGTGGACCAAGGGTAGAAACTGTCTTCCCTTCAATGTTTGGAGCCAAAAGGAATACAGATGGAATTTTCCAAGATAGGAGAAGACCCAAGAAGAGATTATCATCTTGGAATCCTGGGGTCCGTTATCTTCCTGGGGGCAGATAATGTAATGGGCAAAGGACAGGTTGTGAGAAATAAAGTGAAATTGGGAAGTTTAAAAAAGAAATTAAAAAAAAAAAAGAAAGAAAGAAATGAACTGGAGCTGGGTGCAAGGCGCATGCCCCATGATCCCAATGGCCATGAGGATCATGAGTTCTTTTTTTTTTTTTTTGGATTGAACTCAGGGGCACTCAACCTCTGAGCCACGTCCCCTGTCCTATTTTTTATTTTCTTTAGAGATAGAGTCTCAATGAGTTGCTTAGTGCCTCACAGTTGCTGAGGCTGGCTTTGAATTTTTGATCCTCCTGCCTCAGCCTCCCTCAGCTGCTGGGATTACAGTCATGTGACACACTGTGCCTAGCAGGATCTCAAGTTCACAGCCAGCCTCAGCAATGTCAAGGTACTAAGCAACTCAATAACTCAGTGAGACCCTTTCTCTAAAAATACAAAATAGGGCTGGGGATGTGGGTCAGTAGTTGAGTGCCACTGAGTTCAAACCCCAGTACCCCAAAAAAGAAAAAAAAATGAACTGGAGAGTCCAGTTGCTATTCAGCTCCAGCCAGTTGCTATCACATTGAATTTAGGACTAATGGGGCAGAACTTCCCATTTTTATTCCTCCACAAGAAACTAAAACACAATTTTTAATCCACCCCCCACTACCAAATCCAAGTATTTAAATGTTCTCAACTAATTCAGATTTTTCTGAAACTAGAATCTGTCTCAAGCAAATTATATCTGTGAGTTATATTTGTTTTGCTAGCCACTACTATTTTTTTGTTTGTTGTTTAATGAAAAAGCAGTCCAGAAAGGCCCAGTAAGTTAATTCCATGGCAGTATCAAACTGTTGGTCTTCATTGATAACCTTTCCTAGAATAGTGGTCTGAAATGGTGAGGACACCACATTATTGAGCATAGAGGTGTACAGGGGAGGCATGTGAAGTTAGCAAGGATAAACAAAAATGCAGGGTTGAAGAGAGAATGGTATGATTGTTGGACGAGAGACATGGACAAGGAAGGGTCACAGCTCTCTGCTTTAGTGCATTTTTAGCTGATGTTCAAAGTGTCAAAAACAATTTTTGCTTTTTAATTTACTGAATATATTTGTCCAATGCTATGTGAAGGATCCTAATCACCCTCCCCTTCCCCATTTTGCAGCTGTTTTTTCACTTACAAAGAGAACGGTCCTTTCCTGAACACAGAGCAAGGTTTTATGCTGCTGAAATTGCCAGTGCATTGGGTTACTTGCACTCCATCAAAATAGTATACAGGTAAACTGTTTAAGTAATATATGTAAAAATATTGTTTTGATATTTTATTTCAGGTAATACTCTGTTTTTTTCCTTTCCTTTTAAAGAGACTTAAAGCCAGAAAATATTCTTTTGGATTCAGTGGTAAGTATTGTCTTGTAAAAATCTACTAGTTCTTAATTATTTGTTATTTATGGTGGGGGAAAAAGTCTTAGAAGGTGTCATACTAATGATTGTATTTATATAAAATTCTCAAGAAGATAAAATCATGGAGACAGAGAACAGATCACAATGGTTACAAGGGGGGTGGTGGATGGGCAAGGGGCAAGAACACAGAAATATAGGGGCATTCCTCTGTGATGGAATAGCTCTCTATCTTGATTGTGGTGGGTGTTCCATCAATCTCTACATATATATTGCATAGAACCACACACACACACACACACACACACACATACATACACATACACGTATACACACAAGCGTGAATGTTCAAAATAGTGAAACTGAGTAAGTCTTAACAGTGTTGTTCCAATGTCAGTTTCTGTTTGATACTGCACTGCAATGATACGTCAGCATTGGGGGAAGTTGGGTAAGGGTATACAGGACTCTGTGTTCTATTTTTGTAATTTTTTTTATTTTAAAAATAAGATGGGTTTTTTAAAAATTGTCTATTTGTGTTCCTGCATTGTTTTATCTTACTACCTCTATTTTTGTCAGGGACATGTTGTCTTAACAGATTTTGGGCTTTGTAAAGAAGGAATTGCTATTTCTGATACTACCACCACATTTTGTGGGACTCCGGAGGTAAGAAACATGTCGTGTTATTGATATAATCACTGATAAGATGCAAATGTGAATCACATTTACATATACAAAATTGAAATAGGAAAAGTAGAATAAAAACTGTCATTTCACCTTTTAGCCAACTAGAAATGTAATCATCCCTTCTGGATGTTTTGAGTTTATTGATAGTTGGTATTTTTCACTGACATTGTAAAATACCACAAAACCCTTTTTGGATAATCCAACAAAGTTATGCTTATTTTCTCTAAGTGTTGAAAGTTTACCTTAGACTTCTTTAGCATTTGATTATATTTCTAATCCTTTAAGAAAATCACAAATCAGTTAAACTATCCTAAAATTGATTATGGTCATGGTTTTACCATGCTGTGAATATCTTAACAGTCATTGAATTGTACACCTAAACAGATACATTATATGGTATGTGACTATCTTCCTAAAGCTTTTTTTAATGAGTTAACACTAATAAAGAGGATAAAATATTAAGACTGCCTATATCTGTGTGGCAGTTTTATTGATTTCTATATTTTTCTATATGGTTGGAATATTTTGTGAATAAAATAATTTCTTTTTAAAATTTTTTAGCTTTATTTTATTCATTTATTTTTATGTGGTTCTGAGGATTGACCCCAGGGCCTCACACATGCTAGGCACGTGTCTGAGCCACAATCCTAGCCCAATTAATTTCTTTAATAGAATAAAATAAAGCCATAGATGTAAAAAAAAATTAAAATCCTAATTCATAACCCAAAACATCCCATTCTCTAATCACATTAGGAGAAAAAAGTCTTTTCATTTGTGACATTAATAAGCCTTACAACTTATATTTAAAAGCCTTACTCTCACCTCACACACATTTATTTTAAACTATCCTAATTTTATTATATAGTGATCTTAAGTACCATGTGATATTTCAACCTTGTTGTGGAGTAATTGCAAATACAGTGCTGAAATTGGAACCTGGATTAGAGCCCCAGCACCTCACACACACAAAAAAGAAAACATGATAAATTGGCTTACATGACCTTCTGATCAAGATCCAAAACACAGGTTGTGTGCTATGGCATACTCCTATAATCCCAGCGGTTTGGGAGCCAGGCAGGAGGATTGTGAGTTCACAGCCAGCTTTAGCAATTTAGCAAGGCCCTAAACAACTCAGCAAGACCCTGCCTCTAAATAAAATATAAAAATGGGCTGGAGATGTGGCTCCATGATTAAGCACCCCTGGATTTAGTCTCTGGTACAAAAAAAAAATCCAAAATAATTTAAAGTATAAGTAATAAGGTTGGGGTTATAGCTCAGTGGTAGAATACTTGTCTAGCAGGAGTGAGGCACTGGATTCAATCCTCAGCACCACATAAAATGAATGAATGAATAAAATAAAGGTTAAATTATTTACATTAAAATGTATTTTTCTCTAACTCACCCTAGCTCTTATATATATTTGTAACCATTCTATTTTATTTATAATGTAAAGAAACACTTTTTGTGAAGGTACAATGAATTCATAATTAATGAAATGTAAAGTTCTATAGTTTTTAGAAAGGAAAAAACTTGTCATTTAAATCTGAATGTGATCAGAAATTGTTAAACTTTTTAAATTTATATTACCATTTCTTTGGTTCACATAAAAAAGTGTAAGATGAAATTATTTCCTTACATATATTTCATGTGGGAAAAGGTTATATATTTTGGAGTATAAAATTCAAATTTACCATCTTATAAGTGTGAAATTCTGATGAATTTAGTTTTTTACAAATTAAAATGTAAATTGCCACCTAATAGCTTACACACGTTTGCTAAATATGTTTGAGAATTGAAAAGTGTTCCAGGGCTGGGGATGTGGCTCAAGCAGTAGTGCGCTCGCCTGGCATGTGTGCGGCCCAGGTTCGATCCTCAGCACCACATACAAACAAAGATGTTGTGTCCGCCGAGAACTAAAAAAAAATAAATAAATATTAAAAAAAAAAAAACCACACAATTGGAACTTCTTTTAAAAAAAAGAAGAAGAAAAGTGTTCCAGTTGGCATTGACTAAGAATCACTGTTACAGAATGAGAACACCCAGCCTACTGATAATCAAAATGATATGTTTTCATTGTGGTAATAAAACACCTAAATATTGTTAAATGTATTAATTATTCCTAAATTTCATCCTGAGTTTTGTTGAGTTGCTCTTATGTTTAATTCTTTTCTACAGTATCTTGCACCTGAAGTAATCAGAAAACAGCCCTATGACAACACTGTGGATTGGTGGTGCCTTGGTGCTGTTCTGTATGAAATGCTGTATGGATTGGTATGTATTTCTGTTCTTTGATTGTTATTCCAATATACTATTATTGATTTGGTGCTTTCTTTCTCTCTCTTAATAACCTCACAGACAATTAGATAAAACTAATAGAGCAGTTATAACCTGGTTAAAAGAATTTAAGCCCATATTAGGAATATGCAGAAAAATAAATTTTTTTCATTTTTTACTAGTGTTTTAAATTAATAAAATTATCTCTGGCATACTGATCACTGCTTTAGATATTTTCATTCCACTGGCACTTTCAGAAATAGAGATCTAGTTGTAACATTAAAATTACCTGCTTTTACTCCATGTACCCCAAACATCATCTTCCTAATTTCGAGATGGAAAAGAAAAAGATTTTTGCATTTATCAGTACATTGTATTTCAAAAGAAAATGTCTTTTGAGTTTTATCTTTTAAGTCATCCTCTGTTACCTTCTCTAAAAACGCCATGTCTTTTGAAGATTTCATGGGAAAAAGTAATGTTTACTATGTAATAGATTTATTCAGTTTTTAATAAGTATAGAATACATTAGGTAGGCCAGTGAGAGCTTCTGATAAAAAAATGAGTAGTTTTATTTCTGCATTGAGATAACATTGCTACAACCCAAAGCAAAAAAATTTAGGCATTTTAGTAAGTTTACATGTCTTTGTAAGAATGAATGAGGGCTGGGGCTGTAGCTTAGTGGCAGAGTGCTTGCCTAGCACCCATGAAGCACTGGGTTTCATCCTGCGTACCACAGAAAAATAAAGACATGCTGTCCATCTACAATTACAAAAAAAAAATTTATAAAAATTTTAAAAAGGATAAATTATATTTTTCTGTAGGCTTTTTTTTAGTTGTAGATGGACACAATATCTTTATGTATTTATTCAATTTATTTCTACCTGGTGCTGAGGATCAAACCCAGTGCCTCACACGTTTGAGGCAAGTGCTCTACCATTGAGCTGTAACCCCAGCCCCTGTAGGCTTTTTGAAATACTTTTTTTCCTGAGGAATGAAGAGGTTTTATCACTTTTACAGTGAACCCACATTCTCAATAATAAAATTCATAGATTTTAATGTTAAAAACTAAAAAGTGTCGTCTCAGCAAAAGAAACAATCAGTGAAGTGAATAGAGAGCCTACAGCTTGGGAACAAATTTTTACCTCCTACACATTAGACAGAGCACCAATCTCTATGGTACATAAAGAAGTCAAAAAGCTAAACACCAAAATAATAAGTAACCCAATCAATAAATGAGCCAAGGAACTGAACAGACACTTCTCAGAAGGTGATGCAATCAATCAACAAATATATGAAAAAATGTTCAACATCTCTAGCTATTAGAGAAATGCAAATCAAAACTTCTCTAAGATTTCATCTCACTCCAATCAGAATGGCAGCTATTAAGAATACAAACAACAGTAAGTGTTGGCTGAGGATGTGGGGAAAAAGGCATACTCAGACATTCCTGGTGGGACTACAAATTAGTGCATCCAATCTGGAAAGCAGTATGGAGATTCCTTGGAAAACTTGGAATGGAACCACCATGTGACCCAGCTATCCCACTCCTCAGTTTATATCCAAAGGATAAAAAACAGCATACTACAGGGACACAGCCACATCATTACAGGGACACAGCCACAAACCTTATTTGTTTTTCTGTACTGAGAATAGATAAACTGTAGAACCAATCTAGATGCCCTTCAGTAGATGAATGGATAAAGAAAATGTGGTGTTTATACACAATGGCTTTTTGAAATATTTGAAGTAGTGTTTAGATTCCCTTTGTGGTCCCTTAGTCTCCTGCTGGGAACTATATATCTAATCCTTTGTGCTAAATGCTACCATCAGCTGAGATGTACCTAAGGTTTTTTTGTGTGTGTGTTTACTTTTCCTCCAAACTGTGAAGTTTGATTGGCACAATCAGGTGCATTTTAGAGTATTTGTTTAATATCACTAATTTTGAATGCTGGAGTCCTAGAAAAGCCAGTGCCTTTGGCTAAGAACACGTTAAAAGAGCTACTTTTCGCCTGGTGCAGTGGTGCATGCCTGTAATCCCAGCAGCTTTGAAGGCTGAGACAGTAGGATCACGAGTTCAAAACCAGCCTCAGCAAAAAGTGAGGCACTAACCAACTCAGTGAGACCTTGTCTCTAAATAAAGTATAAAATGGGGCTGGGACTATGGCTCAGTGGTCGAGTGCCCCTAAGTTCAATCCCTGATACCAAAAAAAAAAAAAAGCTACTTTTATAGTAATGCTAGCAACTTAGAACCTTATTTGTTTGTTTTTCTGTACTAAGAGTAGAACCCAGGGCCTCACATATGCTAGGCAAGCACTGTATCACTGAGCTATATCCCCCAGCCCAACCTTTGGAAAACTACCTCTTTCTTACTTTCACTATTTGCTGTCTTGATATATCAGAACTTTTTTATTTCTTTAGGGGACTTTGAAAATATAAAATGAAGTTTTATACATACATACATATACATGTTTTGAGACAGGACCTCCCTAAGTTGCTGAAACTGGCCTTGAACTTGTGATCCTCCTGCCTCAACCTCCTAAGTAGCTTTGAGTTACAGACATGTGCCGCCATACCTGACTTGAAGTTATATTTTAAAAAGCCAAAAAATTTTTTTAAAGTCTTTTATTTCCCATAAAACAGAAATAAAAATGACAGGCCAATAAAACTTCCTTAACTTTAAAAATTGTTTTTACTTTAATACTTTGAACTAGGTAATTAACTGGCCAATGCTCATGTTGAAGCTGCAATTATAGCTATATAGCCTATAGACTATGATACTAGCCTTTTTATATTTCTGCAAAATATACTCATAATACTGCCACTGTCACAAGTACTTAGAAGCTTATCTTCAGGTCTCACTCTCTCCTAGAATGAATTTTATTCCCAAGTCTCAAGAAATTATTTAATGTTTATATTTCCAATGATTCTGTCATACCTGTGATGAGGTTGGTGGTTTTCTCTAAAACCTACCATTATGAGTTTTGTGCAATTTAACAGCTGTCTATAGAGTACTATTGAAAAAGCTTTATTTACTCAGTGAACATGAAGCTGCACCGCATGCTAGGTTTAAGAATCCATTTGCATCAGGGGGCCACACTGCAGATGTCTGCACATCCCAAGAGGGTTCTGCATTTCTGCCATTGTCCAAACACAACTGCTATCTACAGATCAAAGCCAAATCCAACTACTTAAAAAACATTTTGGTATGATTTATTTACCTGTAAGTTTATTCTGCTTGTTTTTCAGCCTCCTTTTTACTGCCGAGATGTTGCTGAAATGTATGATAATATTCTTCACAAGCCTCTAAGTTTGAGGCCAGGAGTGAGCCTCACAGCCTGGTCCATTCTGGAAGAACTCCTAGAAAAAGACAGACAAAATCGACTTGGGGCCAAAGAAGACTTTGTATGTAATATGTTTCCCAGTATCAGCTCTATTATATCTTATTTAAAATTTGGAGATAAATCCTTATTTTATATGACATTTGATGGTATAAATACAGCTATTAAAGAATAGCACAACTGGTGAAGGATTTAACTCAATGGTAGAGTACTATCCTAGAATTCATGAGGCCCTAGGTTTAATCCCCAGCACCAAAAATAACAACAAAAAAAACCCCAGCACAACTGAAACAAAAAGCACACTCGTCCCCACAATTTTCACTAGTATTCATAACAGGACTATATAGTGCTTAAAGCACTTTGACTTATATTTTTTCACTTAATCTTTATAATAATTTAATCTATTCTTTATACTTCATATCTAGCTTTCATGTCCTGTTACTTACTTGATTTTTATGTACAGTTTCCTCTCCCTTAACTTTCCTTCTTTTTTTTTAAATTTTTTATTCATAGATGGACACAATAATTTTATTTTGTTTATTTATTTTTATGTGGTGCTGAGGATGGAACCCAGTGCCTCACATGTGTGAGGCAAGCACTCTGCCACTGAGCCACAACCTCAGCCCCTCCCTTTCCTTCTTTTTAAAAAAATGTTACAGCTGGGCACAGTGGTACACACCTGGAATCTGACAGGCTAAGGCGCAAAGATCGCAAGTTTGAAGCCAGCTTCAGCAACTTAGGGAGAACCTGTCTCAAAATGAAAAGGGCTGGGAATGTAGCTCAGTGGTAGAGCACCACTGAGTTCAATCCCCAGTACCTTGACCAGTGTGGTGGGTAAATGTGGGTTGGGCATGTAGCTGAGTAGAAGAGTGTGCACATCTGCAAGTTTCTGGGTTTGGTCCCCAGTACCACAAAAAGAAAAATAAATGTGTTTCTTCAGGCTTTTTGAAATATTCTGAATAGTTCCCCCAACTTATCTCTTATAGCAGATGATCTTGTTTTGTGTTTTATAGGGGAAAAGAGCCATCAGAGTGGAACTAATTCAGCTTCCTGCTGTCAAACTTGCAGACCTTACATGCACCTTTACCTGCCATTCCTTCTCCCTGTTATGGTGGAAAAGGTCCATTTCCATCTGTATACTGGATTGTGTCCCCTAGCTAGGAACCCTGTGCATGTCTTTTTCTGTACAAGAAGCTCCTCCCTTGTTTTAGTCAGCTTTTTCATTGCTATGACCAAAGGACCTGACAAGAACAATTTTAAAGGAGAAAAAATTTATTTGAGGGGGCTCATGGTTTCAGAGGTCTCAGTCCATCAACAGCTAGCTCTGTTCCTTGGGGCTCAAGGTGAGAAAAAACATGGCAGAACAGTACGGCAGAGGGAAGCTGCTCACATTATAATCAGGAAGCAGAGAGCAAGATGAAGCTCAACTCACCAGTATATCCCAAAGGCATACCCCCAGTGATCTACCTCCCCTAGCCACACCCTCTCTGCCTGCAGTTATCTCTCAGTTATCCCTGTCACATGATTTATTTGCTAATTTGGTTAAGGCTCTCATAACCCAAATCATTTCACCTCTGAATATTCTTGCATTGTCATACATGAGCTTTTGGGAGACATCTCATATCCAAACCATAACATCCCTCTTGTTCTGTTTCTTTCCTATTGATAATGAAATATTATCAAATCTGCTTTTTTTTTTTTTTTTTTTTTTTTTTTTGTACCAGGGATTGAACTCAGGAGCACTCAATCACTGAGCCACATCCCCAACCCTATTTTATATTTTATTTAGAGACAGGGCCTCACTGAGTTACTTAACTCCTTCCTTTTGCTGAGGCCAGTTTTGAACTCGTGATCCTCCTGCCTCAGCTTCCCGAGCTGCTGGGATTACTGGCGTGTGCCACTACGCCCAACTGAGTCTGCTTTTTAGAAGGAAAAAACCTTCAACCCTACTGTTGTATGAGGTACTACTATTCATCTTCTTCCCTTCATTGCCAGACTTGTTGAAAGTTTTCTATATTTAGGCTCCCATTTCCTGTCTTTTCATATTTCTTAGCCTACCAGAAAATAGCTACCAGAATAGGATATGTCTATTCCTTAGCTTGCTTAACATTCCCCAGTTCCCTGGGCTCCTTCTAGAACACACTCATCTCATTCTGGGCCCTCTGCCATACTCTTCTGTGTGATTCCCTCTTCTTCAGCCTACTAGATGTAGCAGTGCCTTGTGGTTATCCTAAACCCTCTTTTTCTTCTGTGCTCTTTTTCTGGACCATTTTATTTTGGTCCTGTGGCTTTAGCTATCTGTATGACTTTATCTCTTACATTTATATCTTGAGACCTCTTTTAAATTCTAAACTATAGTATCTGCCCACTTCTCCCACACCTGGGTTTCCTTAGAATACCTCAGTGACAGCATGTTCAAAATTGAAATCCTAGCACTGGGGAAGCAGATCATGATAGAACTCTTACTCAGTGTGGGCAAGGCCCTGAATTCAATCCCTAGTACTACCAAAAATAATCTACCTACCTACCTATATGTATGTGTATATGAAAATTGAAATCCTGCTCTCATCCTCTTGTTCTCTTCTTTCATATTAAATGATATCATTGTCCATCTGGTTATTCTGTTAAGAAATCTGAAAGGCCTTCTTAACTTTTCTCTTTTCATAAATTTCATATTTAATAACAGGTTCTATTGCATTTGCCACCTAAATCTTTCCAATAACCAGACACTTCTTTATGATTTGACTCTCCAATTCATTTCCCCTTAATAGCCAGGGAAAACCAGCCAAACAACAACAGCAACAATAGTTGACATCCCTGTACCTAATACTCCTTGATGGATTCCCATAACTCTGGAATAATCTGAAATTCTTAACATAGACTCAGCATGGACCGTTCAGCTCTTGAGCTTCACCTGATGTGACAGTCCCTTCTGTCCCTGTGATACTGAGTCTCATTTTCTTTTTTTTTTTTTTAAAGAGAGAGAGAGAGAAGAGAGAGAATTTTAATATTTATTTTTCAGTTTTTGGCGGACACTGCATCGTTTGTATGTGGTGCTGAGGATCGAACCCGGGCCACACGCATGCCAGGCGAGCGCGCTACCGCTTGAGCCACGTCCCCAGCCCAACTGAGTCTCATTTTCTTGACCAAACTAAACTCTTTTCACCATAGAACCTTCCTATTCTGCCTGGAACATTGTTCTTTTATTTTGTCATATTTATCTTTAAGATCACTGGTCAGACATCACTTTAAGAAATCTTTTTTAACGCACCAAACTACATTGGATCCTAGTTTATACACTCCCATGGCACCTTGCAGGGGAGAGAAAAAATCTAGAATCAGTACTGTGCCAACTTTTGATAGTAGCAACCCAGAGTACTTTTTTTTTTTTTTGGTAGTAGAGTTCATCACTTTAACTTTACTTCCACTCCACTGTATAGAATTATTGGCTCAACTTATTTATATCCTCTGTTCAGGTAGTAATTCTTTGGTGCCTTCTTATTTTCATAGCACTTTTATTTCTATATTTTTGTGTTCATCTTTAAAACAACCTGTGAAGTATTTAGATCAGAAATATTAACCCAATTTTACCTGTGAGAAAACTGCTGTGAAGGGACATAAGTTTAAGTAGATCATTTAAAGTAACTGTCTTTCACAATGTCTACCACCATTTTGCCACATGAATGACATAAACATTTGCCTAAAAAAATTATTGGGGAGCAAAATAATAATGATTTGGCCTCATAAAATTCTTCAGTGAGTACTTAATATATTCTTCATCATTAGTAAAAATTCTTTTTTCTTAATATTCTAGCTTGAAATTCAGAATCATCCTTTTTTTGAATCACTTAGCTGGACTGACCTTGTACAAAAGAAAATTCCACCACCATTTAATCCTAATGTGGTGAGTATATACCCAAATCTTTTTTTCTAAAGTAGGGAAACATAGAACTGTAGTTATTATAATTTTGGAAATAGATCTCAAAATCTAACCTGAATGAAATAAAGTCAATATTTAAATATTTGTGAAATATGTCACACAGGGTTATTTACTGCAACTAATAACTTTCATAAGTTTGTAGTTACATTAGGTTAATGAAAATATCTTCCAGCACAGTTGTGAAGTGTTTTTTTTGTTTTGTTTTGTTTTGTTTTTGGAGCATGAGTGAGAAAGAAATGAATTCAGTAAGTTAAAAGAAAAAAAGCAAATTAAAGTAACTTGTTACGTATCATTTTTATACTTACTAAATCAATAAACATTTTTAAGTAACACTAAGGATAGTTTTTTCCTTAGATTAATATAAAACCAGATACAAGCAGACATTTTTAATGTCAGTGTAAACTGTTATATCCTTTTTAGAAAACAGTAAGATAGTATTATAAAAATGATCATGTTAGCTAGACTTGTTAAATCTACTGATGGAAACATTTTTCCTAAAGGGAATGTCTTTATGCAAAAAGCTGTATCAAAGATTTGTTAATACATACCAGGTTTGATAGTGCATGCCTATAATCCTAGCACCTTGGGAAGCTCAGGCAGGATTCAGATTTTTGAATATATATATATATATATATATATATATATATATATATATATATATATATAAATGAGATATCTTAGAGATGATGGAACTCAAATCTAAACACAGAATTCATTTATGTTTCATATACATTTTATGCATATAGCCTGAAGGTAATTTTATGTAATATTTTGGTGTACCTGGGTTTTGATTGCAATCCATAACATGAGGGTCAGATGAACAATTCCACTGGTGGCATCATATTGATGCTCAAAACATTTAAGATTTTGATGCATTTCAGATTTGGGATTTTTATGTTAGGGATGCTCAACCTGCGTCTTCTTTACAGAAGAGAAAACTAGCTTAAGAGATAAGGTAATTTATATAAAGAATTACAGTTAACAAATTTCACAGTCAAAATTCAGAAACCCACGCTTCAGAATTTTTTGAGGGGGAAATTTTTAAAAATTGTATTTCTTTTATGCTAAAATTCTTTAATGCTATAATTTTTAGAATTCTTTGTCTCCTGTAAGGGATTTTCTTATATGAAAGGATCAAGCATTCCAGGTTTCCCTGGTCTCAGCTCAATTTGTAGACATACCAGGCTAATTAATATTTTTAGTTTATAATCTCTTCTGAGATTATAAACTTAATGACTTGGACATTTCAGTGATTCCCTTCCAGTAAAGCAGAAAAAAAATTAAATCACCTGGATTTATATCCCAGGTTTTATCTGTAAATATATTCAAAGTCCATTAGCTTGCATCAGACTCATAAAGGAAGAATAAAACTACTGCCTGTGAACCTAAGCAGTGGCTGTACTCCATTCCCCATGAACCTGGTCCACTTGGGTGCCACAGCTAAGAAAGCCCTATCAAAGGCTTCATGACCTCTGTAGCACAAGAGTGACCTTTCACAGTTTTACTTGCAGCCCCTTCATTCCTCCATCAGAAGGCTCTATTTATCCAGAGATGAGAAAGTAGATGGACAGGCATTCCTGGAAGCTCAAATGCAGAATGCTATCCTGAAAACCCACCTGAGCTTTGTTTCTGAATATAGGGCTGGTGGTAGGTAGAGAGAAGGGGGATCAGTTATAGGGTCTCAGATTCACATTAGCAGAGGTAAGGGGGCCTCTATTATGTGAGCCTTTCTCAACTTTCTCTTTCCCCTCCCCACCCAACAACAAGAACCTTAACTGTTAGTGCAGATAGCCTTACCTCAATAAAAGTACAGAAAGAAAAAGTAGAAATTTGAAGTAGGAAAACATCTAAACTTATTAGGAAAAAAATAAAATCATAAAAACATTTTATGAAGGGTGAATGAAAGAAAAGCCAAGGTGACTAATATCGTTCTTTTGATGTTTTAGGCTGGACCAGATGATATCAGGAACTTTGATACAGTATTTACAGAGGAAACTGTTCCATATTCTGTGTGTGTATCTTCTGACTATTCTATAGTGAATGCCAGTGTACTGGAGGCTGATGATGCATTTGTTGGTTTTTCATATGCACCTCCTTCAGAAGACTTATTTTTGTGAACAATTTGCTATTCAGAAACTATCATGCAAATATAAGACTGCGGATGGGACTGAGACTCCTATTTTTGTGAATATATTCAAATATGTATAACAGTGCCTCATTTTTACATGTAATGTTAAAAACTATGAAAATTGTATTTTCTGCTGTATGCAAGAAAATAGGGCGTTTCAAAGAGCTGTTTTGGATTAAATTTGTATTCTTGTTTATTAAGCTTATTTTTAAACAGAAAATTTAAAAACTGTTATTCTTAGCATTAACCTATTTTTGAAGAAAACTTTTTTGCTATTGACTGTTCTTTTTCCCTCTTAAGTTTACACTAACACCCAAGATAGACTGTTTTGTAGCAGTCTATTTCAGTTCAGTTAACTTATATTAATACCTTTGTAATTCTACTACGACTTTTGTTATCAAATCAGAACTATGCAATTGGTACATGGTTGTTTAAGAAGAAACCGTATCTTTCCACGATAAATCACTGTTTGAAATAATCGGGTCCTGGTAGGGTAAAAATGTAAAAGCATAATTAACATATTGGCTGCTAGTTAACACTGTTAATAACTGTTCATTTTGCTGATAATAAAATAAGTAACAAAGTAGTATAAAATGAAATCATTTGCTTTTGAAATACCAGTTCAAATTTGTGAATTATTTTTTCTCTACAGGGAAATTAAAAATGGTTTAAAATTTTAAGGATTCCCAAAGATTTGGAGGGTAATAAAGTACTGCCAGAATTTATTTTTAGGTGGTGCCAAAAAGCAACCGTATGTCATGTATTTATTTAACAAATATATTCTATTTATGTTCCTTTGGGTCTTTTGAATGTTTAATATGCTGTTAAGTAAGTTTAAATCTAAAAGTGGTATTTTTGCTTTTACAAATAGCTATTTCAAACTATCTTCCTAGTTGGTTACATAAAAAGAAATATGTAGCTCTATAGAATATTTACCTGATTGGGAAATGTAAATGTATATAGTTTTATTACACTGTAACAAAAGTTAAAAATAGTTTAGGCAGGTACATACTAAATATCTTTTTTAAAATTTTCTTTAGTGGTTCTGGGGATCAAACCCAGGGCCTTGTGCCTCCTAAACACTGCTGTACCACTGAGCTACACCCCAAATTCTTCAATTTCTGTATGTATCTTAGAAAAAGTAAGGAGCTTGGCATGGTGGCACATGACTGTAATCCTGGTGGCTTGGGTGACCGAGGCAGGAGGATCACGAATTCAAAGCCAGCCTGAGCAAAAGCAAGGCACTGAGCAACTCAGTGAGACACTGCCTCTAAATAAATAGAGCTGGGGATGTGGCTCAGTGATTGAGTGTCTCCGAGTTCAATCCCCCGTACTCCTCCGCAAAAAAATGAAACTGACTTTAAAATCATAACATACTAGTAATTTGTGCATTTGTAATGGTAAAAGAGAATGGCCATAGAAAAAAAAAAAGAATGCTTAACTTGGAATTCTGGTTCTGAGAGTGGTGGATTTTCAAGTCCTGTAGGAAGCAGTATTGTGAGAGGTTAGTGACCCAATTTAGATGTCTCTAAGAACAAACTTCCCTTCCATGTATTCTCTTCAGAAAGAAATCACAAAAGCATTTCTCACCAATACCCTTTGGCTCATAATTCAACAGAACAGGGAAGAGGGATATGCTTTTGTTCAGTTAATAATAATTACATTCAATACACTGAATTTTCCTTTAGAGGTTAAATTTTAATATCTACACTGTAAATATTTGGTTTGTTTGGCACTACTGTGAGTTCTGCTTTTACACAAAGCTCTTTGTGACAAACCAAAACGAAAACTGTAGTTTCCTATGTGGGTTTTAAAATTCAGGTGATCTTTAATTAAACTGCCAAAATTTAAAGTGCAATATTGTATATTTTTAGGAACAAATTTAAAATAGAATTTTGATGTTTCTCAGATCAGGAGAAATACAAATTGACATAGAAAAATAAAATTAGCAAAAAGGTTAATGCCTGTCATTATTTGAAATTAAAATTGGTAATGGTTACAATAGTCTTTACAAATATGTGGAAAGGGAAAATAAATTTTAACAAAATATTTGGGCAGATTAATAGATTTTCCAAGTTTATCTTTTTCTCTGACAGCATAAGTCTCTTAGTAAAATACATGCCTTTTGAATAGTTTATTTCATGGTAATTACTAAACTCAAAGATCTAAATGAAAACTTTTTATTGCTCATTCATGTAATTTGGAAGTTAGTTTTGTTTTTGCAGTGGAATTTTCTGCCTCTTGCCTTCACAGATTTTTCTTTTACTGGTTTTTACAGATTATTCCATTCCCAAGTAAAGGTTTATTGTCTAGTGGGGGCCCATTCTTAATACATGGAGCTTTTTCACTATTTCCTTGTGGAGGGGAAGGGATCAACTAGCTCTCTGGGTTCTCTTAAGGGCACTAATTCCACTCACCTCCCCAAAGCTTCATCTCTGAATGCTATCACATTGGGGATTTGATAATAACATGAATTTTGTGGGGACACAAACATTCAGAGCATATAAATATGAAAAACATCAAGTGTACATAAATGAGTTTCAAGTGGTTTGAGTACTTTGAATGATATGCCAAGTTTTGTGTGTAAAGGAGATTAACGGTCAGGATGGAGAATACTATGTAGCTTTATTAAAATCATATATATATAGGGCTGGGGTTGTAGCACAGTGGTAGAGCGCATGCTAGCATGTGTGAGGCGCTGGGTTCGATCCACAGCACCACATAAAAAGGTCCATTCACAACTAAAAAATAAGTTTTTTTAAAAAACATACACATAAAAATATTGCAGTTTTCTACCACTTTTTTGTTGTTTGGATTGAGGATTGAACCCAGGGGTACTTTTATTTTGCAGGGTTGGGTACCAGGGATTGAACTCAAGGGCACTCAACCACTGAGCCACATCCCCAGCCCTATTTTGCATTTTATTTAGAGAAGGTCTTACTGAGCTGCTTAGTGCCTTGCTTTTGAGTCTGGCTTTGAACTTGCAACCTCAACCTCCAGAGCCACTGAGATTATAGATGTGCACCACCTCACCCAGCCCCAGGGCCACTTTTACCACTGAGCTATATCCCCAGTCCTTTTTATATTTCATTTTGAGAAAGTTGAGGGTGTGGCAGAGTTGCTGAGACTGACCTCAAACTTGGCACATCTGCCTCAAGACTCCTGAGTCACTAGGATTATAGGCATGTGCCACCATGCTCAGCCTTTTCTTTTTTACTCAACTAATACTGAGTCAAATTCTTAACTTCCCCTGATAACATTACAGTTGTAGGCCTATCTAATTTATGTAGCATTTTTGGTGTTTTGCAAATACTGGGTAAGCATCCATTTGTGATCTTGTAAATATTTTCCTCAGCTAAAAAGACCCCTACACAAAAATATTTCTCAATTCATTATTTATATTACACCCATTTTTACAGAGATAATGAAATCAGAAAAAGTATTTAGCTTTTAAAATTAATTTTTAAAATAACTTACCCAAAATTGAGACAATGGAGAATAATTTAAAGCAATACTATACAAAAAGCCAATAGAGTTATTGAGTGTTTCATAGAAATAAAGTAGCAAAGGGTCCTACAAATGAAAAGTAATTTATTTTTACATATTGCACAGGAAAAATGGGTTACCATATGAATGTTAAGGGAATAAGTTAAAATAGTCATATCACACTTCAAATCCTGCTTACTGGAAGAACCAGGACATTGGGTGGTTTTACAAATCCTGCACTCAAATATAACTTGTAAATTTCTGTTGTAATTTTTTTTTTTTTTTTTTGCAGAAGTGTATTTCATGGGTTCATCTTTTCTTCCCCCTAAAATATTTTAAGCAACTTACTTTATTAGGGAGCAGAGGTTTCCAATTCAATTCTAGTTAAATTTTTGCAAAGTCTACAGTGAGTTGTCAATATTTAAATGTTCTTATTTTTTAATGGTCAACACATGGACTCCAGAAGGCATATATACAGAAAAATCAACCTACTCAAATGCTAAAATTTTATCTCCATTGAATTTTTTTTCAGTCTTTCTGAATAGTTAATATGGCATTTCTCTTGTTAATTTTTTTCCTCTAATGACTCAATGATAGTAAATCATAATGCAAAAGTTACAAGCTTAAGTGTGTTGGTGTAGTTCAGTGGTAGAGCACTTGCCTAGCATGCCTGAGGCCTTGGGTTCAGTCCCCAGCACTGCAAGAAAAAAAAAAAAGCTTACTTTATTAATGATATATTGATGCTGAACACCAACATTTATCTACTTTATTTTTTAAATAGAGACAATTATTCCAATAAGTACAAAGGAAAAAGTCTAGCAGATACAATTTGTAAAAATTTTTATTAGTTATTGATGGACCTTTATTTTTGAAAGAAAGTTAAAATGTTATTTTCCTTTCAGAGTTTCATTCACACTGGTGGTGTGAAGCAATAGTGGATAAAACAGCTACATCTTCTATGCTGAGAAGCAGAGGCAACACACTGTATGAGTAATAGTCATTATAGTCTTCATTGCCATGCACTTGCACTAAAAAAGAATTAACCCCCCCCCTCCCCCCATTTTAAATCTGAAGAGATATCAACACTTTCATGTTCATTGTAGCTACTACTCATGAGAACCAAGTTAGGTGATCAATCTAAGTGCAACAGAGAAATTCATAAAGAAAATGTGATTTGTGTACCACATAAGGAATGCTACTCATCCTTAAAAAGGAAATTGTTCTTTGCAAAAATTTTTAAATATATATCCAGTGTGATATTATCTAAAACATTTTAAATGTATTAAGCACATAAAATCTATTAGACTAGTGGATTGATATAAAACTCCTTTATTAGTTTGGCATATGAATGATTTATAATGGCTAAGTAATCAGTCAAAAGTTAAAAAAAATATATGAATACCTTCTTGGACATTGAGTCATCTTTAAAATACAAAGCCTATAGCCTGGCAGTGGTGGCATATGCCTGAAATTCCAGCAACTTGGGAGGTTGAGGCCCAGGGATCTCAGATTCAGGACTAGTCTCAGCAATTTAGTGAGGTCCTAAGCAACTCAGCAATACCCTCTCTCAGAATTAAAAAATAAAAAGGGTTGCAGTTGTTACTTAGTGGTTAAGCTACCCTGAGCTCAATCCCCAATGCCAAAAAAAAAAAAAAGGCCCATCATCAGACAATAATCTATTTCCATCTTAGGTGGTACTCATAACCATGGAGGAGCAGAATTGCAGTACAATATAAACAGCCACTCTGCTGTTTCTAATTGATTTCTACTTAAAAAAAAAAAAGTGTTGTCTTCACCTCACCACTAAAATAGATTACATTCCTCCATAAAAATAATTTTTTTATACATGGAGAGGGATTTTAACAGAGGTCCACTTTATGCTTTGAATATAGCCCTTGCTACTCAACCACTGCAATTTATTTTTAAAATTGGCATGTTTCTTTCTCTTCTTCTCTCCCTGCTCCTCCCTTATCTCCCACTCCCTAATCTCAGAGGAAAGAGGATTTACCTTTCTTCTTCATTCTAAACAGAGTTATCTATACTTGAGAACTCAAGCACCATAGGAAAGAAGAAATCCAGATTTGGGGGATGGTACCCGAGGATCTCAGTAATTACTTCTTCCCAAATTAACAAGTGAATTACAACTCCATCAGAGAACACATGGAATGTAGCCTTTAATCCCTCTTTAAAAGCCCCCTGTTTCTGCTGATGGGCAGAACCACAACCTTTGGGATAGGAGTCCCCTGTGTTTCTCCTTTGCTAGCAAAGCAATAAACCTTCTTTTACCTTTTTCTCAAAAACCGTGTCCTAGTTATTGGATTGACATTGGGGACAAGGACCGATCTTTCAGCAACAGGATGATCTCAATTGCTTCCCATGGAAAGTGATACAATCCTCTGTTCTTTGAGTACCACTCTCCCCCAATGCAATGGAGAAGGGTTAATTGTACCAAGTAATATTAACAGTGGAGGAGCCAGCTGTGGGGTTTTGATAATAGTTTTACTGTGATTTAATTAATGTATTATACAGTTGACCCTTTTAAACTGTGTAATTATATAAGCATGGTGGTGTGACTGTAGTACCAGCTCCTCAGAAGGCTGAAACAAGAAGATCCATCCATATCTATCTATCTATCATCTATGTATCTCTCTCTCTCTCTCTCTCTCTCTCTCTCTCTCTCTCTCTCACACACAATATTTTTTTTGGTTGTACATGGACACAATACATTTATGTATGTATGTATGTATGTATGTATGTTTAATGTGGTGCTGAGGATGGAACCCAGTGCCTCACATGTGCCAAGCAAGCACTTTACCACTGTGCCACGACCCCAGCCCCCTCAAGAGGACCTTTTGAGCCCAGAAGTTCTAAGTCAGCTGGCAATATAGATACCATCTCAAAAAACAAAGTATATAATTGACTGACTTTGAGTGTATTCAGAATTGTGTAACTGTTGTCACAATTTTAGAACATTTCCACCACTTTAAAAAGAAACCCTGGTGGCTACAGATGCAACTGGGGGGTAGAGTGCATGCTTACAGCACATAAGACCTGGGTTTAATCCCAGCACCAAAAAAGGAAAGAAACTCTGAACAGACAAAATTAATCTTTTTTATTCAGTGGGATATTATTCAGCCTTTTAAAATAAGTAAATTCTTATTTTACAACATGAAGACATTTTGCAAAATGAAATAAGCCTATAACAAAAGGCCAAAACTGTATGATTCAATTTAAAAGAGGTAACTTGAAGTAGTCAAAGTCAAGGAAATAGAATGATTAATGCCAGGATGGCAGAGGGAAAAAAGCAATTAATGGGTCCAGACTTTCAGTTTGGAAACATGAAGAGATCTGGAGACAGGTGGTGGTAATGGTTGCATAACAATGTAAACATACCTAATGCCACTGAACTGCAAACTTAATGGTTAAAATGGTAAATTTTATGTCATGTATATTTTACCATTCTCCATCCCTCCCTGCAAGCTCTAGGCCACTGCTAATTTATTTTCTCTGTATATAAATTTGCTTATTCTGGACTTTTCATACAAATGGATTCATACAATAGGTAGTCTTTTTGTCTTAAATTTGCATAGCATTCTCAAGATTCATCCATGTTGTAGCTTGTATTAGTACTTCATTCCTTTTTATATCCAAATAATATCCCATTATGAGGCTATGCCACACTTACCCATTTATCAGTTGATGGACATTTAGGCATCCACTTTGGGGCTATTATGAATAATACTGAAACCGGAGTTTTGAGATGAGACTGGAGCCTCCACTTTGCCAATTTCCTTCTGGGTACTTGTCTTGCAAATTTGAAAAATAAAATCCACATACAATAACAGAAGGGAAAAGTGAATAGAACGGGGGCTGAGGTTGTAGGTCTGTGGTAGACAGCTTGCCTAGTATGTGTGAGGCACTGAAGGGAAATCAAGGAAGGAGAAACTGGTAAATGAGAAATGAATGAAGGAGACCAGGCAGAGATACACATGAGAGTTTGTCAGAGCTGACAAATAAAGGTCATCTCTATAGAAGAGAGAGGCAAAATAGGCTCTGAGTTCTGGGACTTTTCTGGGGGAGGCTCAGAGACCAGAGGGTCCTAAGGCAGGTGGTTAGGGGTTGCGTTAGTGAAAGGGAGTGCTGAGCCTTTCTCAGAAACTCCCTTGGGCCGTAATGCAAAACTTTTTCCTTAAAATGGCAGCCATCACTTAAGATGGTCATCCAGATGCTAAGCAAGGACCTTATAAGTACTAGATTCGATTCTCTGCACCACATATAAATAAAGGTCCACTGACAACTTTAAAAAAGAGGAGGATTTACTTAAGCAAGAAGAGAACTCCTGCTCTGTGAGAAAGAGAGCAGAAAAACCCATTTTTGTGTGCTCTTTTAGGGGCTTATATGGTTTGGGGTAGCGCACATGGGAAAAGATCTGTGTTAAACAGGCATTGAGAAAGTATTGGCTGGGTTTTAATCCTTCCGGTAACTTCCATTTGGGTTCACTCCCACTTTCCTGTTTTCTTGCCTCTGGGACAAAGGATAGGACAAAGGAGTTGGCTGGAATTTTGCATTTGAAATAGCCTTCCATGGTGCCCACTGATATTTCTGCTGCCTTTGAACAAGACCTCAGTTGGAGTCCATCACTGCAGATTGCAGACCACCAACTACTCTCATTCACTATAGCCTTCAGACGTGTCCATTTCTGTGGGAACAGGTATCGATTTTCTTGGGTATGCACACCCCCCCACCCCCAAGTATCTAGGCAGTCAGGTAACTACATGGTTAGTCCCTCAGGAGCCTACTGAAATGTTTCCAACCTGACTGCCATCTTGCATTCCAGCTAAACAATTTTGAAGTTTTTTTAAAAACACACCAGTATCTTTGGGCTGTAATAACAAAGAAAACCAACTGTAGCTCCGTCTCTTCTTTGCCTTGAAAGGAGGGAGCAAAGTAAAGAAATCCATGCTGTGGGGAAAGGGCAGGACTCTCTCCAGGTTGCAGGAGGCAGGTGGTCCCGGCAGTCCCCGCGCGCCGCCAACGGTCGGTGGAGCGTGCACGCATGCGCGGGAGCAGCCACGCACACCCGGCCCCCTCGACCCGCTCTGCTGGCGCGAATTCCCAGGGCTCTGTGGCTGCCGGGCAGTTCGAAAGCTGTGCGTAGGCAGGGTTCTGGACCTCCGTGAGTGAGTCAGGGTTCGCTTCTTCTGCTTGGTTTTTGTGAGGTGTTTTTCTGCCCCCAACCTCTCACCAGTTCACCCTTGGTACTGAGGGGATCAAGAGAGAAAACTGTGATCTGTGCCTATTCACGTGACCCAATAGTTGGGTTTTTAGACTTTGAGAGGACTTAGAGAATTGGAATTTTATCCTTGATCACGTATTCATTGCTTTTTTTTTTTTTTTTTTTAAGGCTTTCACGTCTTCTCCTCCACTTAACCTCTTTACTTGTAATTGCATTCATTCCTTCCCTAGGACCCCCGGGATACACCTGACACCGAGACTTCAGCTCTTTGGACTGTACAGAACTCCAGGTCCTGATATATGTCCCTCTGGCTTATATCTAGGCGGCCCAAGAGCCCCTCAGAATTCAGAGTATCACAAGTGAACTTTTCCTTATTGTTTCCCTATGTTTCTTCCTGGGTTCATATTTTCATTAGAGGAGCTGCACCCATTCACCCCTATTTAAAAAACTCACTGACACTTTTCCCCCTACATATTACAGACTGGCTATCAAATCCAGCATGGAATCTTTAAAATTCTAGATTCATCTCCTTCACATTTTGTTTTTAGGGCTGTTGATTGGTCCATAGATCTGTCTCTTAGGAATATTACAATAGCTAAAAACTGATAATTGACTTTTCCAACTAATTTTCCACTTAGGCAGCAGAAACTGATTTAAAAAAAAAAAAATCTGAGGGGCTTGGATTGTAGCTCAACCTACCATGTGTGATGCACTTGGTTCAATCCTCAGCACCACATTAAAAAAAAAAAAAGTAAATAAACAAAACAAAAAAAAAGGTGTTGTGTCTATCTACAGCTTAAAAAAAAAACTTGAATTTCCTGTAAGCTTTTTTTTTTTTTTTTGCTTATATAATCATTTGAACTTTTAAAATCTTCATGATATGGCTTCTCCTTATTATTTCATTATTAATAGCTTCCCTTCCTTCAACTTTAGAAACCTAATGTCTTAATAAAGCAAAGATGTGATTACTGAGCAAACTTTTTATTATACTTATGGCCACAAAGAAATAAACTCTGAATTTTCACCCCTATGTGATAGTGAAAAGGATAGTCTCACTTTTCTCTGAAAGTAGCCTGAACTCCAGGTTAGCAGGGGTGTGGATCCAATAGTACAGAACTCATAATGGAGGTTGGGGATGTTAACTTCTATCTGGGGAAAACTTTCTCTTCCTTCTATTTGCCTCTCCTCCAATTCATCTCCCAAATGTCACCTTTAAAGTAGAATTCATAGCTGTTTCACTATGACTGTCTTGTTCTCACTGTCTTGAATCAAAACAATAGAAAATGTTGACTCACACACAAGGATGACCCCAAATTTTGTGAATATACTTGATGTTCTTTCTACACTCCCTAGTACATTCATACTTCTATTATAGCACTTAAGTTGTCATGTAGTTGTTTCCATATTGTTCTTCCCTCATTGCACTCTTTCTGAAAGAGAGGTACCACATTTTACTCATATCTGTATCCTTAGTGCCTAGGATAGTCAGGTTAGCCAATAAAAAGTAAATGCCAAATCAATAATGGAAAATGAATGAATAAATGTATTAATCATTATTTCTGACTTCTCTAAACTGGCAACTTCACAAAGGCAGGATACAATCTTAATCCTTTTTCCTAATACATATTATAATTACTGTATTGCATATATTGTTTCCATTTAGTGTTTTGTTTTCTGTCTACAATAATTTTTCATATTCCACTCTCCACATATTACTATGGTTTAATGTTTTACACGTTGAACAATGACACAGATTTTACTGAAGAAAGTCCCAATCATCTAATATAATTCCTTGATTTCCTACAGCTTAAGATACTGAGCCAATCAGGTGATTTTCCATCATAGCAAATGCTCAGTCAAGAACTGATTTCTCAAGATTTCCCAGGGTAGTACTCATTCTACTGTTTGTTACTTAGATTGAATTATGAAACAACTTTTACTACATTTATTTATTTGTTTGTTTGTTTGTTGGTTGGTACTGGGGATTGAACTCAGGGACACTTGACCACTGAGCCACATCTCTAGCCCTATTTTGTATTTTAATTAGAGACAAGATCTCACTGAGTTGCTTAGCACCTTGCTGTTGCTGAGGCTGGCTTTGAACTCGAAATCCTCCAGCCTTGGCTTCCCGAGCTGCTGGGATTACAGGCATGTGCTACCATGCCCAGCTCCATTTGAGGATCTTGATCTTAAGTTTGCTATCTTGTGAAAGATCTCCTGAGTGTTGATTAAAATGTTAATTGGGGGCTGGTGGTGTAGTTGAGTAGTAGGGTGCAAGATTAGTGCATGTGGGGCTGGAGTTGTGACTCAGTGGTAGAGCACTTGACAAACATGTGTGAGGCCCTGGGTTTGATCCTTAGCACCATATATAAATAAAATAAAGGCCCATTGACAACTAAAAATATATTTAAAAGAAAGATTAGCACACGTGAAGCTCTGGGTTCAATCCCTAGGATTCTACCCCCTCCACCCCTGAAAAAAATTAAAAGTTGACAAAAGAGAACAAGGTTTTGTTTCCTTTTATCTAGGAATTTTTTAAGAGCTGGAAATTTTGCCTAGTTCTATTTCACTCTCAATTTTAATAGTTTTTAAATTTTTATTAGAGATTTTCAAAAGTAAAATTTATTTTCTTTTATCTCTAGGTGTTCTCATCTTTTCTATGAGTTTGACCCATCTGTAATGATTATCGGCAGCTAGTAGTTTAATCATTAAGTAGTAGAGAAGAAATATTAATTAGGAGAAAATGTCAAATCTAAAAATGAAAGAGGCAGCCCTTATCTATCTTGACAGAAGTGGAGGTCTCCAAAAGTTTATAGATGATTGCAAGTACTACAATGGTATGTTCAACAAAGACGATTTATGTTAGAAACTTTCAAATAAATTTCTACATATAACTATCCAGACTTTTACATTTGTATATTTTCACAGATTCAAAACAAAGTTATGCTGTCTATCGATTCAATATTTTAATAAATCCTTCTGATGTTGTTGAATTATATGCTGAACTTGGAAATCATATTTTACACCATCCTTTAAAAGCTGCTCAAGTTTTTCAATCAGTAAGTTAAAGAAAGAAATACTTTTATGCCAATACTTTTATTTTTGGTAACTTGTGTGTTTGTTTGAAATTACAGGTCTGTTTTATTGCTGTTAAGACTCTCTCATTAATTGGACAATTACAGACTGAAACTCAAGTAAGTTTAATTCACTTCTTTTAACATTTTATTTATTTATTCTAATTTGTTATATATGACAACAGAATGCATTTCAATTTATAGTACACTTATAGAGCACAATTTTTCATGTCTCTGGTTGTACACAAAATAGATTCACACCATTCGTGTCTTCATAGATGTACTTGGGGTAATGATGTCCATCTCATTCCACCATCTTTCCTACCCCACTGCCTCCTCTTGACCTATCCCTCCCCTTTGCCCTATCTAAAGTTGTTTTAATTAACTTTAACAACGAAAACTCACATGCAAACATTCAAGATGACTTGTTAATTTAATATTTTTATATGCATACTTTTTTGTTTGTTAAAAAGTATAATACATTCTTCAAAGTTCAAGTGAACATCCTTTTTGTTTTGGTGCTGGGGATCAAACGCAGGGCCTTGTGCATGCAAGGCAAGCACTCTTCCAACTGAGCTGTAGCCCCAGCCCTCAATAGAATATCTTAAATATGCATTTTTATTTCCTATATTACCACTTATACAGTTAAACATTTTTATAATAAATCATTTCAAACACACCTCAAAGGAAAGAAAATAATTAGGAAACTCTTATATATCTGTCACTCAAATTCGGTGTTTTAATATTTTATCATATGGCATCTTTTTGGGGGAGTGGGAGTGGGGGTATGGGACTAAACCTAGGGGCTCCACACCACTGAGCTACATCTCCAGCCCTTTTTATTTTTTATTTTGAGACAGAACCTCACTAAGTTGCGTAGGGCCTTGCTAAATTGCTGAGACTAGCCTCGAACTTGTAGTTCTCCTGTTTTAGCTCCCAAACTGGCTGGGATTACAGTCATACACCACTGTGTCTGCAGCGTCCATTTTTTGTCCAAAATATTTTAAAGCAAATTCCAGGTGTTCTATTATTTTACCCCTACATACTTCAGTATCAACTAAATATTATGGACGTTTTTTCTACATAACCACAATGCCATCATTACCCCTTATGAAAGTAATAATAATCCTTTGATATCATCCAATATCTAGTCCGTACTTAAATTTGTCCAAAATTACCCTAATGTCTTTCAGTTAGTTTGTTAAAATCAGTATCAAAACAAAGTCCACTCATTGTAATTGGTTTTTATATCCTACTAAGTCTCTTTCAACATAGAGCCATTCCTTTTCCCTCCCTTTTTGTACTATTGATTTTTTTTTTTTCTTTTTTTGAGTACCAGGGGCACTCAACCACTGAGCCACATCCCCAAACCTATTTTGTATTCTCTTTAGAAATAGAGTCTTAATGAGTTGCTTAGCACCTTGTACTTGCTGAGGCTGGATTTGAACTCACAGTCCTCCTGCCTCAGCCTCCCAAGCTGCTGGGATTACAGGCATGCACTATCAAGACCAGCTTGTACTATTGATTTTTTGAAGAAAAAAATTATGAAGTGTTACATAGTCTGGATTTATCTGACTACTCTCTTTTAAAAAAATATATTTATTTTTTAGTTGTAGTTGGACACATACCTTTTTGTAAATTTATTTTTATGTGGTGCTGAGGATCAAACCCAGGGCCTCGCACCTGCTAGGTGAGCACTCTACTGCTGAGCCACAACCCTAGCCCTTTTTTTTTTTTTTATACCAGGGATTGAACTCAGGGGCACTCAACCACTGAACTGCATTCCCAGCCCTATTTTATATTTTATTTAGAGACAGGGTCTAAGTTGCTTAGTGTCTCGCCATTGCTGAGGCTGGCTGTGAACTTTTTTTTTTTTAATTTATAAACATCTTTTTTTAAATATCTTTATTTATTTTTATTTTTTTAATGTGGTGTTGAGGATCAAACCCAGCACCCCCCCACATGTCAGACGAGCGTGCTACCACTTGAGCCACATCCCTAGCCCTGGCTTTGAACTCTTGATCCTCCTGTTTCAGCTTCCCAAGTTGCTGGGATTACAGGCATGCGCCACTTCTCCTGGCTTTTTTTTTTTAAATGTTCTAAAAATCTTTAATTTTTATATAGCAGGTTCATAAAGAATACTTTATAAGATTAGTAATAATGGTAAAATTGCTTGAAACAAATTATTATGAAATTTGTTCAGGGATGCATAATATGTATAAAAATGAGTTTATTTTTCTTTAACAAGTGCTGCTTTCTGATATACCAAATACATATTAAATCCACGAAATACAAGAGTTTAATCTACATCTGTTGGTTGCTTTAATTTTTCATTTAAAGACAAAATCAAAACCTTTGAAACTACACTTTTCATTATAAAAGAATCAAAGTATATCTGTATTTCTAAAATACCATCAATATAATGAATTCTTCTCACAGACGACACTAAAACATGATAAATATCTTCTGTACTCAATTTGAGGTGCTGTCACTGAAATTAATTATAAATGTCTATTCTGAAAGATGTTGCAATAAAGTTGGTAAACTAAAATATTGATACTGTTTTTTTAATTAAACTTATGGAATATCTAGAAAGTAGGTTGAATTAGAACCTGTTGACAATTTATAATATTCTTGAAAAATAATTTTGAATGACAAAGAAAGCTATGATTTTACTATAATTTAGGAGTTTTAAAATTATCTTCCTTTAGTGCTTTCAACTGTCCCTTGGTCATAAATTGAAAACTCAAATAATTTCAAATAATCATGGTTACTATTTAGGCAGAATCTCATGTGTACTTTTAAGGTTGTATAAATGGAATTATAACAAAAAGACAACTATAACAAGATGTAGCCCCTCTGATTCATGAATAGCACACTATCTTCCAGTAAACCGAGTTTATATTCCACCATCAAATGTGGTTTGCCCACTAGTTCCCTTTGAGATGGATCATTAAGAATATCTCCAAATCCAATAGTCCATCATTATTCCTCAAAATATCCAGGGCAAGGTTTGAGCTCCAAAGAAATGGAAGGCACTGAACCTGCTGTACTGCCTTAAATTCCATTTGTAATTTCAGAGGAGCAAATAAACCTTGGATGTTTCTCAGAGTGGAAAAATTCATTTTATCTTGGTTGAACTGGAAATTTTTTTCTGATAATTTAAGAGGATGACTGGGCAAAATTTCATTTTTCACACAAGAAAAACCTTTCCGAAGAAAATCATGACTTTCAAAAGGCCCACTTGCTGAAAGTTCTGAAACTGAAATACTGTCTTTTCAGTTGAGATCCAGGTCCTCTGGTATTCATCTTCACACCACTCAGGGAACACTGTTCAGTAGGCCCTCCCAGATTACTTTCTTGTGGTACTTTTTCCCCTGTATCTTATATATCTAAAAGAGAATTTTGCTTTAAAGACTTAGATTCAGATTTATCCAATTTTCACCTATTTTAACATAGTTCCAAATGGCACTTTATCAGGAGGCTATAAAGTTGTCCCACTTTTGGCAATGTCACACAGTTGATCAATGGGTTTAGGTGATATTATTCTGATCCCTCCATTACAGACTTTCCCATTAACTTTCACCTGATGGTTTTAGAAAAATTAGAAGCCATCATTTCACATGGATTTGCAAAAAAGGTGATTTTTCTAATTTCAGCATCTTTTCTGAAATTATACAGCAAAATAAATTTTCTTTTATCAAACTATATGATTATTCTGAAATATGATTTGTACAGGAAGAGTAAGATAAACTATGATTCTTTTTAAGTTTCAGACAGTAAGGAGGTAAATTCAGCCTCTAATTATGACCAATATTGTTTTTTTCCTTTGTTTAAATATGAGAAACTCATGAATCTTTAATATATTTCATATATTTTAATGAATCTCTGTCATCATTTTGATTCTTATAATATTATATCTTTAGGCTTTAGGAGTTCCTTCAAGTTTGCTCCTATGTCCTTTTGACACATGCCATTAATTTTTTTTTTATGACTCCCTTAGTTTCTGACATAAGATGCTCCAACTGAATCTGGTATATTTTCTGTCCCAGACCTGGCATCGACCATCTCCCCCAAAGAGCCTTGGTTTTTTCAAGTGAGAAACAACATTTGGAGATGACAATTTGGGTACTAGTAGTGTTCTTAGCTATTGGGTTGACATTATTTTAAAATTCTTTTTCAGTGGGCAAAGTCAGGACATGTATATTTTTAAGGAAAAGTAATGAGTTTATCATTATATTTTATTTATTTTCAATTAAATATTAGATTATAAAATTTGTTTTTCTATAATTTTTAATCTCTTTGCTGTCAGTCTTAAAATTTTTGTTCCCAGGCTAACAGTGTAGCTCAGTGGTAGTGAGCTAGCCTAGTATGTGTGAGGCACTGAGTTCAATCCTCAGCACCACATAAAAATAAATAAATAAAATAAAAGTATTGTGTTCATCTACAACTAAAATAAAATTAATTTTGTTTTTTAACACTAACAAATCATTTACTTGACTTATTTTACAATGTACTTATATGTCATAATGCATTTGCTCTGTGATTTTTATTAATAATATTCTTATGTTCTTATCAGATTAACATAGTGCTGAAATTAACACACTTACCTTCTCTGCCAAGTTATTGTCTTGATCTTTGTGAGTTTCCACTTGATTATACATCTCAGAGATTTTATATAATGCAAGGAATTGTGATTGCAATAACAACTGTAACCAAGTATACTCAAGGTGCAAGATTCCTTTGTTCAGATGAAGCATGTCCTTTTTCAAAAGGTAAATATTAAAATGTAAAATCAAAACATGAAACAATTTATTTGTATTCTTTAATCCCAAAACTTGTTTATAATTTGTAATCATTTACAAAGTAGAGTAAATTGGTATCTCCTAATGTTTATAAATTTAATTTGCCTAATCTTTGATAGAAATTATGTTTAGCATCTATATTACAAGTGCCTTAGCACAATGTTGGGCCAGAAACAACCCCGATGCAAGGAACAGTTAGTTGATCTACTCTGAACCTGAGTGCAAATAGAATTAATTATCCCTTAATTAGACTAATATTGATTGGAAGTAGGTGAATTTGGAAGCAAGTTTAGTTTACCACTGTTGTTCTTTCAGGATTTCAATATGTAAGAGTACATGTGCCTGGAGCTACAGAATCTGCAACAATAAGAAATGACTTTTTGTGCAATTTGTGTTCATCTTCACTCCAAGAAGACAGAAAATTTAGAGTACTTGGTGGTAAAAATGCATTTACATTTTGTATTTATAATTTTCAAAATACCGCTGATATACGAGTTGAGGATTTAGTTCAGTGGCAGAGCTTAGTGATAGAGCTAGCACATGCAAGGACCTGAGTTCAGTCCTTGGCCATGAATAAAAAAATAAAATTGTCTGATATTTTAATGTGAAAACTAAACCAAATATATATTCAAATAACTAATTTGTTTTGTTCTTTTGCCCCAAGATAAACAGATAGTTGAAATAATTGCCACAGAAGCACTTCATGCTTTTCAAGGATATTCTAAAAACCAGCCATTTAGGTTTCAATCTCTTACAATTTTTCTAAGAGGTATGTAAATTCTATTTGAACTCAAATTTCTATAAAATATGGAATTGATTAATTTCTGCTTTATATTATAAATGTACTTCTGTGGCTTAAAAATTGTCATCTTGTCTGGCATGATGGTGTACACCTATAATTTTAGCAACTCATGGGGCTGAGGCAGGAAGATTACAAGTTTGAGGTCAGCCTGGCAACTTAGTGAGACTATGTCTCAAAATAAAAAATAAAAAGAACTCAGGGAATGTCTGCAGTGGTTCAGTGCCCTGGGGTTCAATCCTTAGTACCCCCTCCCCCACACCACACATGCACATAAATTGTCATCTTGAGAATTTTTTTTAAAGAGTCTCATTTAGTTAATGTATCAATTGTTCATTCAGGCATACAACATTCACTTAAAAATATATTAGCACCTGCAATATCCTAAATGTTATGCTAAGTCTCGGGTCACAGTCATTTAAAGATAATGATCCTCCATTATTCTATGTGTATATGTCTTATGTTAATGTTAGGGTTATTTTAGAATGTAAGCTTCATGAACATAGATGCAACATTTGTTTTTTATTTTGCATAGTAAAATCTCAATAACTATTTGTTAAATAAATGAATGAACATTCACAAATGACTAACTGCATCAGTAAGTACCCATGAGAAGACAGTCTTGCCACAAAGGAGAAAATCATTGTCAGTCATCCAAGGAATGATTAAGTTTTCATTGAGAAGCCAAAACTGAAAATAAGAATGGGGCTTAACCTTTTCTTCTGGCTAAAATTGGATAATTTAAACTGTTCGGAAAGAGAAATATTGAATGTAAACCATGTATAGGAAACATGGAAGTTAGAAGAGTTGGGATTCAAAAAGAACTCTTTTCGGGCTGGGGTTATAAATCAGTGGTAGAGTGCTTGCTTCACACTTGTGAGGCCCTGGGTTTGATCCTCAGCACCACATAAAAAAATAAATGAATAAAAATAAAGATATTGTGTCCACCTACAACTAAAAAAATATTTTTTAAAAAAAGAACTCTTTTCCCCATGATCTAAGAAGGATGAAAGCCCAGACGATAATAAGTAATTTTTATATAGCAATTACTGTGTGCCAAGCATTCTTATGTATATTAACTTATTAGTTAGAGCAACCTATAAGGTAGATTCTGTTATTATCTCTATTTTTACAATGTGGAAGCTGAGGCACAGAGGGGTACAGTATCCAAGATATAATCACATGCATATAAGCCATACATTGCAATATAGAAATCTAAATGGGTATCTCTTATGGTTTAGCAATGAAGTATCCCCCTAAAAGCTCATATGTGTGAGAATGCAAGAATGTTCAGAGCTGAAATGATTAGATTGTGAGAGGTGTAATCTAAAGGGGATTAATCTGACGATATGGATTACACAGGCAATGACTGTAGGCAGGTAGGTTGTGGCTGGAGGAAGTAGGTCATTAGAAGTATGCCTTTGAGATTTATATTTTGACCTTGGTGAGCAGAACTGTCTCTCTGCTTCCTGGTTGCCATGTTCTGAGCTTCTTTCCTCTGCCATGCCTTTCACCATGATGTTCTAGCTCCCTTCCAGCCCAGATCTATGGAGATGACAGACCTTGGACTGAACCTCTGAAACTGTGAGCCAAAATAAACTTTTCCCCCTTTAGGTTGTTCTTGTTAGGTCATTTGTTGTCAGCAATGAAAAAGTTGACTAAAATACTATTCATCTTGAATTTTAGTGGAAAACCTTTTCTCTAAACTCTACAAAGAACCCAAATAAAACTATAAAAATTAAATGAATAAAAGCAGGACTTTTGGATTTGACATTCAGAAAAGATTCGCAGACTTCCCAGTTCCTTTTCTCCCCCTTGACCTTTCCATGATCTCAGGATATACCCTCCAAACTGATTCCATGTAACTGTTGAAAAGTTATTTATTTAGAGAGATAATAGTCTCTATTTCATTTTCCTCTTGTAATTTAATCATACTTTTAGTCTTTTTTGTTTGTTTGTTTGTTTGGTTGGTTAACTAGTTGTTGATTGATATGGGGTTTTTAGTGTTTGTTTTGATTTTTTTATTTTCTGAGTTGTTGAGCCTGATTCTTCTCTTTCAGGTCTGTAGGGTAATACCAGCTATGCTCTCTGAAGCTAAGAGGGAGGGAGATCACTGTTCTATAAAGAGAGACCTTAACCCTTGCTCCTCCTTATAAACCATTTTTTTTTTGTAGGTTTACAACCAGTCAACTTCTAGCTGTGGAATGGAGGATTAATATATTTAAATTTTTAGCCAGTGTGGTGGCGCATGCCTGTAATCCCAGCAGCTCAGGAAGCTGAGACAGGAGAATAAGAAGTTTAAAGCCAGCCTTAGCAACTTCAAGGCACTAAGCAACTCAGTGAGACCTTGCCTCTAAATAAAATACAAAATAGGGCTGGGAATGTGGCTCAGTGGTCAAGTTCCCCTGAGTTCAATTCCCAGTTATTACCCTCCCCCCAAAAAAAAGATTTAAATTAAAAAAAAAAACAAAAAACATTGAACACATGCAAAAGCTCTGCCCAATCTGTACGTATAAGAGAAGAACCTAGCCTAATGTAAAAGTGTAGACTTTGGAGGAAGGCTGAATTAGATATGAAGTTCAATCCTGCCACTTTTTAGTTATTTAGTCTTGTGCAATTCACTTAGCCTCTGAGTTCTTTGTGTATCAATGGAGATAAGAATATCTACTTTACAGTTTATAATTACATAATATAAGTACTTTAAAAATATTATAGACAGTAAATGGTACCTTTTACAATTATTTTCTTCCCAAATAATATTATTACTTATAAGATCAGTATTATTCACACTGCTTATCATTTAATACAAAGATGTTTTTTCTTATATAGAATGATCTTTTTTCTTGATTATATTATAGGAGGGTATCTAGTTGCCATGTCATATGCTTCTTGAAGTTAATTCTTATTGCAGCCAAGTATCAAAATTTGTCAGCAATAAAATTGCCTCAGTTTACATTATTGGTCCATTACTTGTGAATATTATACTAAACAAAAGTAAATATTGCATTACTAACTCAATTGCTGAATTGTTACTGATTTGGGATTTTGAACCATATGATCATTTACAAGTTTCATTTAGCAAATATTATTTTCCCCTGTGTTTAATCATTCTAGATGAATTAGTGAATAAAATGAACATAGGAAATGAATATAAAATTATTGGAATTCCAACCTGTGTCAAAACCTCACAAACTGCTGTCTGTATAGAGGCAAATAGCATCACTCTTTGCAATCTAAAAGGTAAGGAAAATCATATATTAACAAACACTTAAATTTAAATACATTTGTTCAGCAAATATTTATTGTTTGCCTTTATTCTGAGAACTCATCTAAACAGTAGGATATGGATGAAAACAGGACAAAAGTTCCTGCTCTTAAATCCAATAGATTGCCAATAAAATGTAAACTAATCAATAAGATAATTTCTGATAAAAATTATATGGAGGAAATAAAACAGGATAATGTACAATTTTCTGTCAGGCAGACCCCTTCCTTTGAGTTAAATATTATTTTGAACCTGGTAAGGTGGCATGCACCAGTAATCTCAGCTATCTGAGACGCTGAAGCAGAATGATCAGTTGAGCCCAGGAGTGGGAGGCCAGCCGGGGCAACGTAGCAAGACCCTGTCTCAAAAAGTTTGATTGTTTTATAATTAGCAATAAGAAAGAGGTTTCGGGATGCCAAAGAGTTTTTCTACAATACCTTTATTTATTTCATTTGTTATTTTAATATGAAACATCTAACAAATTTGCCTGTCATCCTTGCCCAACAGCCATACTAATCTTCTTTGTATCATTTCAGTTTTGGTGTATGTGCTACCACAGTGTTCCACAGTGTCTGTTGTTTTCTAGCGAAGGCAATAGAAAATGACTATTAATCTGAGAAAGAGAGCTCAATAAAATAACACCCTTTTCCTCATCTGAGTCCTGAAATAAGATACCAGATAAAGGTAGATGGGGCCAAACTATCACCTTTATTACTAAAAATTTCCTTTAACAGCTTCAACATAATTTTGCATTATGTAAACAAAAACAGAAAGCCAACTTAATGTTTTAACTTGGTTCACAAATATGTAAATGAAGGAAAGGCTGGTTAAATCTTGAATGGAGTAGAATTTTTTTTGGAATCCCTAAGTAACCATCTATAGTAATAGAGATGCCCAAGCTGACTTTAAGTATAAGTGGATTCTAGATACCTCAATTTATCTTGAAGAGAAAACTTAAACAAAAATGTTGAAGAAAACAAGCACTAATGGACCGCACACAGACAGTTTAATGACTTTTTATATTTTCTACTGTGAAATAATTCAAGATTTATTGACTTTGGTAGCAGAACATGATTTATTTGTCGGTGGAAAAGTGTGATTTTTTATGCTGTATTCCAGAATTATACAGATTTAACCTACCACATGTGGCAAGAGCTGGACTAAGATAGGTATCTTTTATTTATGGGGTAGGAGAATAGAGGAAATTATGATGAAATCTATGATGGCAGCCAAGAGAAAGGAGAAGGGGACCGTTATTCATGCATAGCTCAGCTATTCCTACCAAACTTACCAATTGGATAAATTACTTACCCTTTTCAGGAGCTGGAAAGAGTGAGGGGGTGGAGAAGATCTAGATTATTACAATATACTACAAGATAGTGCTTTCAAACTAATAAATATAAAATATAAATCTTTCTTTTAAACCACAATATTCCAGTAGTTCCCATTTTTCTCATTAGCTCTCACAGAAGTTGATATTATTTCAGACATAGAAATGTAGGATCAAATTCAGCAATATAGGAGCCCCATGATTTGCTTTGCTCATTTATGTCTTAGGATTTGCTTTCAATCCATAGAAAATTTACATGAGCAATGAGGTGACTGCTTTCTTTTCTTTTCTTTTCTTTCTTTTCTTTTTTTGCATTCTCTGGGATAGAAAGGATAGACAAGCATGACCTTCACTCATAACTTAATATAAAAATTTGAATACAGCATCATTAGGAGAATGATAATTTCATTTTGAATAACTGGAATTTAAGTGTCTATAATGCTTTTTTTGTTTTGTTTGTTACATTCAGTTCCTTCAGGAATTAGTGACAACTTCAGATGCCTCCTCTCCTTGACTTCTAGCTCATGCTGGAAGTTTACAGCAATACTTGCCAATATCTTTGCATCACACATTGTTCCTCCTGGGACTTACAATTTACTCAAACTCTGTTTGTTGTTGAGTCTAGTACAGACAAGTGACCGTAATAAGGAATCAGAAGATTGCCTGGATATTTTAATTATAACAAGTGATACTCTACTTATAGACAGGTAAAATAATGTGTAATGAACTTTTACAAATTATAAATTGGTTACAGAATCGCATAAATCCTTCTCATTAGTATTATTTCAAGATGAGTATCTAAGTACTAAGTATTTAAATCAGCTTTTATCAATGAAGTTGAAATTTTTAAAACATGAATTGAGCATTGGAATAACTGCTTTCAATATTTTGAGACTCTAACCAAAGTTTTAATGAATATCACCAATCAAACCTTTACAAATGAATGCATCTTTCGTAGGCTCCCTTCCCCCATTCCCTAGCTCAGCATTCTGCTTTTGTACCTTGTTTTCATTTTTAAATAATCCTCCCTATGAGCCAACAAGCCATTTTCATATTTTTTTACAGATCCTATTCAATAATATTGGTTCACTACACCCAAATGAGGCTATTAAAAAAATGCCAAAATTACCGGGCTTTTTGCAGGGGGGTTGGAATAAGCCTCTGCTCAGCATTTTGGGGCTCCCCACAAGCAATACCTTTTAAAAAAATAGGTTACTTAAATGTTTATGAAACTGGAAATAAACTCTCTACATTTATATCTTTTTTGCAATTCTAAGGCAAAAATAAATTTATAAAATGAAGTTGAATTTTTTAAAAATTCAAATTAACATTAATCAAACAGATGAACTTCATTAAAGTTAAACCATTACTGACAATGTAAATTTGTTGTTAAGTGCTACAGATTGCACCAATTTATTCCTCCATTAATAGAACATTAATACTCTCAAGTATTTAAAGCTTCCTCATAGCCTCACCGACTCTCTTATCAAACTTTAAATTTTGCCATCTGATGGGTGAAAATGGAATTTAATTTGTATTTCTTTAATTGGAAATAAACTTTAGCATAATTTAGAGCTTACTAAGCATTGTGTTATTTTTCCATGAACTTCTGTTCTTGGCTATTGTCATTTTTTTCTATTAAACTGTTTACCTGATTCTTATTGAGTTGTGATACTCGTTGGAAATCAAGGCCTTTGTCTCTTTTTCTGTTTGTAATCAGTGTGACTTTTCTTATGGTATTTGGAGCTGTATGAGAAATCTGGTTTTGTTTGTTTGTTTCTAGGTAAAATTTATATATAGTGAAATAATCAGATAATATTATTTAAAACAGTGAGGTTTTACGAATGTATATGCTCCATAACCATAATAAAACTATTTTCATCACTCTAGAAATATGTCTCTCTCTTCTAATTCCTATTTCCACAGGTGATTTCTGTTACCATAGATTAATTTTCCTATTCTTGAACTTCATATAAATGGAACCATACAGTGCACACTCTTTTCTGTATAGTTTTCTTGCTCAATATAATGAGCAATCAATAAGATTGATTCACTTGTGTCCTCATTATTTTTATTGGTGAGTAGCATTTCATTGTATGAATATACCACAGTTTATTTATCTATACTCCCTGTGGTGGACATTTGGGTTTTGCATGTTTTGACTATTACAAATAAATCTGATGTAACCATTCTTTTTTTATTTTTTTCCTGGTGCTAGGCCATGCACATGTTAGTCAAATGCTCTACCCCTTAGCTATACTCCCAGTCCTGCTGTAAACATTCTTTAAAATATATATATATATATTATTTATTTGTAGTTGGACTCAATACTTTTTATTTTATTTATTTATTTTATATGGTGCTGAGGATAGAACCCAGGGCCTTGCATGTGCTAGGTGAGCACTCTACCATTGAGCCACAACCCCAGTTCAGCATTCTTAAATATATATTTTTTAATTTTTCCTTTTATTGGTGCATTATAAATATAGAGTGAAATTTGTTATAACACATTCATATGTGTGCACAATAAAACCATATAACCTGAACAGTTTCATTCCCCAGTACCTCCCTTTTCCTTTCTCCCCTTCCCCCCTGGTCCCCTTTTTCTATTCTACTGATCTCTCTCCTATTTTTTTTAATTTGTTCTAATTGGTTATACATGATAGTACAATGCATTTTGGCACATTATACACCAATGAAGCATAGCTTCTCATTCCTCTAGCTGTACATGGTGCAGAGTCACCAGTATTGTAATCTTACATATAGGGTAATAATGTCTGTCTCATTCTACCATTCTTCTCATTCCCTCATTCTTCTCATCCCCACTCCTCCCCCTCATTCCCTCTGCCTAATCCAAAATTCCTTCATTCTTCCATATCCACCCCCCACTATGGATCAGCACCCGCTTATCAGAGAAAACATTCAGCCTTTGGTTCTTTGGAATTGGCTTATTTCATTTAGCATGATGTTCTCTAGCTTCATGCATTTATCTACAAATGCCATAATTTTATTTTTCTTTAAGACTAAGTAATATTCCACTGTATATATGTACCACATTTTCTTTATCCATTTATCTGTTGAAGGGCATCTGGGTTGTTTCCATAGTTTAGCTATTGTGAATTGAGCTGCTATAAACTTTGATGTGGCTGCATCACTGTAGAATGCTGATTTTAATTTCTTTATGTAGGGTAGTTGGGTCAAATGGTGGTTCCATTCCAAGTTTTCTGAGGAATCTCTATACTGTTTTCTGAAGTGGCTGCACCAATTTGCAGTCCCACCAATAATGTTTGAGTGTACCTTTTCCCCACATCCTCACCAAAACTTATTGCTTTTTTTCTTGATAATTGCCATTCTGACTGGAGTGAGATGAAGTAGTTTGATTTGCATTTCTGTAATTGCTAGAGTTGATGAACATTTTTTAATATATTTGTTGATTGACTGTATTTCTTCTTCTGTGAAGTGTTTGTTCAGTTCCTTAGCCCACTTATTGATTTTTTTTTGATAAGTTTTTTGAGTTCTTAATATATTCTGGAGATTAGTGCTCTATCTGAGGTTCATGTGGTAAAGTTCCTTTTGTGGGCTTTTTTTTTAATATTAGCTAAATACTTAGGGGTGGAATTCCTGGGTCATAAGGTAAATGACAGTTTTCCAAAGTGTGTGTGCCATTTTACATTTCTAACAACGATCTTTGTCCCCATCCTCACCAGTATTTGATATTGACAGTGATTTTCTTCTTTTATTTTCTTATCAGTCTTTTCCATTTTAGCTGTTCTAGTAGATGTGAAGTGCTATCTTGTGGATCTTGAATTTCCCTAATGAGTACTCATATAAGCTTTTCCATATGTTTATTGGCCACTCGTATATCTTGTTTTATGAAGTATCTGTTCAAGTTCTTTTTAGTTGTGTCATTCTTGATGAGTGTCCTTTGTCACATATATGTAGTATAAAAATTTCTCCCATTCTAAACTATGTTTTTAAAGAATTTTCTTAAAATACTTAAAGAAAATTTAAGCAGAACTTTTATCTTGATAAAGTTCAACTTATTATTTTCTTTTATGTTTCATGTTTTCTGAGTTTTGTTTAAGAAATCTTTGCCTACCTCAAGCTCAGGAAGTTTTGTTTTGTTTGTGATACTGGAGATTCAACCCAGGGGTGCTCTACCATTAAGCAACATCCCCAGCCCTTTTTATTTTATTTTACTTTTTATTTTGAGACAGGGTCTTGCTAAGTTGCCTAGGCTGGCCTCAGGCTCAAGATCTTTGTGCCTAAACCTCCTGAGTAACAACTGGGATTATAGGCATGTGTCATTGTACCTGACTTCATAAAGATTTTTACAAATGTTCTTCTAGAAGCATTATAATAATTTTAACTTTAATATTATGTCTTTAATTTATATCAAGTCAACTTGTGTATATGGTATAAGGTAGGAGAAAAGATTAATGGTTTTTCCAATGCATTTGTCTTATTTTTCTACATCATCTGTTGATAAGATCTTCCTTTTCCCTGTTTTTGTTTTATTTTTGTTTCTGTCTTTTTGCAGGGGAGAGGGTTTGAGCATTCCAGACTGGGAGCAATATCTCCATCCCTGTTTTGGTACTATTGTTGAAAATTAGTTGGTACTATTGTTGAAAATTAAACTGAATATAAAATTGAACTATTTGAACTCTATTTTCTGTTGCTTTGGTCTGTTTTCTATGCTTATGTCAATACTGCACTCACTGCCTTGATTATTATGGCTCTATGTTCAGTCTTGAAACCAGATGATGCAATCTTAGTCTTCATTTTCAAAACTTTAGAAACTACTATAGGCCTTTTGTATTTTCTTATAAAATTTATAATCAATATTAATACCAACATTCCCCCCACCCTTAAAAAGCTTTTAAGGATTTTGATTTTGATTGTTACTGCATTTAACTTACAAATAAATTTTGGAGAGAATTTATATCTTAGAAATATTAAGTATTTCTATCATTTGCTATAGACATATAGAAATAAAATTGATTTTTTATTTTGACCTTGTATTCTGTGACCTTGTGTCAGTTTTTTAAAAATATTTTTAATTTAAAAAAAATTTTTTAAACCTTTATTTTATTTACTTTCTTTTAATATGGAGCTGAGGATCGAACCCAGGGCCTCACACGTGCTAGGCGAGCACTCTTCCGCTGAACCACCACCCCAACCCCTTGCATCAGTTTTGGAAATTTCTCAGTTGATTTCAATTTTTATTTATTTATTTATTTATTTATTTGGATTGAAAAAGGAGCACTCAGCCACTGAGCCACATCTCCAGCCCTATTTTGTATTTTATTTAGAGACAGAGTCACATTAAGTTGCTTACCACCTCACTTTTGCTGAGGCTGACTTTGAACTCAGGATTCTCCTGCCTTCACCTCCTGAGCTGCTGGAATTACAGGCATTCACCACTACACGGCTGATTCCAATTTTTAGACAAGTTTAAGGCCCATTGTTTCATATCATGAGGTTGCCAGCCTGGCTACATCCAAGAGTTACCTGGGCCTAATATATAGCCAGGTTTAAAAAATATATAGCCAGGCATTGTGCTGCATACATAGAGCCCACCTACTCAGAAGTCTGAGGTGAAAAGATCACTTCAACATGCAAGTTCAAGACCAGTCTGGGCAACCCCCAGCAAGACCCTCCATCTCAAAATAATAAAACTAAAAATAACTTAGGACTTGGTACCACTTCCATAGATTCTAAGTGGTTTGGAGTAGAACCTGACATTGGAAATTGTTGAAAAGCTCTGCCAGTGATTTTAACGTGATCTAAGGGTGAGAACCACTGCTCTTACAGGCTTGAAAAGTTTCTTTAAATGTCATTCCCTCATTTTATATCTCCAAACTAATATTCAAATTCCTTGGAATGGCTCATACACTAAACATATTTTATAACATCCTTCTATCCACATCTAAGGGGATACTATCTCAACTTCTTTTGCATTGCATGTCTACATCTGCTTATCACAGTTGATTGCATCAGCAAGTTATAATTTCTGTGGCAAGAATTTTAAAGCTAAGCTAAGATAATCATATTCCTTTCTCAGAATATGAGAAGCGAAGAAATCGAGGCAATTAAAGAGGGTTAGAGACTGAAAGGGTATATCAAGAATTGCTGTGATACAGAAGCATCAGTAGACCTGATGAGACGTTGACAAACCTAATGTAAAGATTTTGAATATGAAAAAGAAAGCAATCCATAAAAAGAGAATGCCCAATTCCAATATTGTCTCTCTGAAGCTTCCTCTGACTCCTTTTCCCCAGGAAAAAATAATAATACTCACTTTTTTATATATTTATTTTTTAGTTGTAGTTGGACACAACACCTTTATTTCACTTTTTTTTTTTTGTATGTGGTGCTGAGGATTGAACCCAGGGTCCAGCACGTACGAGGCGAGCGCTCTACCACTGAGCTACCACCCTAGTCCATAATACTCACTTATTATTATTATAAAATAATACTTATGTGTGTCCTAAAGACAAGATTTTAGTACTCATCACATTGTATGTTAGTTTTTTTTATGTCTCTTCTAGAGTGGGCTGTGCAAGTTGGGGACCAAGTTTCATGTTCTTATACCTAGCCCCTAGCTAGTATACACAGGTATATTAGATGCTAAATCAAATTCAATTTAATTGTGTATCTGTTAATACTTTATGACTTCTGAAAATAAAATATTAAATAGTAGTAATGAATAAATTATTTTTCCCTAGGCTTTTGAATTTTAGCATAAACCTTTTTCCCCATGGTATACGCCATCCAGTCTCTACTGAAATTTTTCCTACTCTATCCAGAAATAAATATGGAACTGGAGCAGTTAGCATTCAAGCTGGCAGTGCTTTGTTAGCTAAAGATGGTATCTGCTTTATAGGAGACTTATCTTCACACAAAAAAGATAAACTTGAACAACTTCAATCAGGTAAACAATGTTTTTATCAAATTACTTTTCACTTTTTACTTTTTACTTGATAGTATTATATTTTTAGCAATTGATAAATTATATTAAATGTCATTTCTCATTTCAGTTTTATAAATAAAAACAGAGAAACTTAATATGTAAATGCAATGTTTTAGCCTTTGCTTTGAGTTGTTCTAACATGTGAGATTACTTCGTATTGGGCCAGAGTTTTTTCTTCTTGTTGTCTTATTTCGTTAACTAAGACTTCCAGGATAATGTTGAAAAGCATTGTTCCTGATTTTAGTGGGAAAGCTTCAAGTTTCCCACCATTAAGTATGATGTTAGCTGAACAATTTTTGTGATGTTTTATTAAGGTGAGAAAGTTCCCTTCTATTTCTAGTTTCCTGAAATTTCTTATTATAAATGAGTGTTGGATTTTGTTGAATGATTTTTCTACATATATTAATCTGATCATGTGGTTTTTCTTCTTTGACCTGTTGATGTGATAACATTAATTGATTTTGAACATTGAATGAGTCTTGCATACATGGGATAAACCCACTTGGTTGTGGTTTCTATTTCTTTTTATATATTGTTGAATTTGACTGCTACTTTGTTAAGAATTTTTGCATCTATGTTCATGAGAGATATTGATCTGTAGTTTTGTTTTCTTATGCTTTCTTTTCTGGTTTTGGTGTTTGGGTAATGCTGGTTGGGCCAGGTTTACAAAGATGGGCAACAACATTGTTGAGGATGTGGAGTATCTGAATTGGTGGGAGTGTCAAATGGTACCACCATTTTTTAAAATTTTAATTAGGTATGTATGGCCATTTTGAAAATTCCTCCAGCCAGCAGTTTCTATAGAGTTAAATATACATTTATCCTATGACCTAAGAGAAAAGTAAATATGGTCACAAAAGACTATTATCATGAATAAAAAGAAAATTAATTTAAAAATATATTTGGGAAGTAGGATTCTAAGAATAGCATTGAATTTAGATTGGTTATAAATGGTGAAAGAAGGATAGAAAGGACAATAGGCTGTTTCCACAATTTATTGTTCAAGTTTTAAGTGTATGGATGGTATGCCACCAATTATGAATGATGAACATAGAGACATAGGGAGCAGAGGACAATCATGGCTTGGGTTTTAATATTACTGAATTTGAAGTATATTTTCTCCCACTCATTGTACTCATTTTGTCTTTTCCTCTCATACTCCTACATGGATGGTCCACTTGCTATCATTTTTTGCCATATAAAAGGACATCACTTAATTTTAACTTCCTTTACAAGTCCACTCTTTTTAAAAATACTTTTAAATTGTTGATGGACCTTTATTTTATCTATTTGTATGTGGTACTGAGCATCGAACCCAGTGCCTCACACATGCCAGGCAAGCGCTCTACCACTAAGCCACAACCCTAGCCCTGTAGTGCACTCTTTATGACCAATCTTCTAGACCTCTGTCTACTCCACCCAGATGCCCAACCACAATTTCAGCTACAAGCTTTGGACTAGAAGTTCTCATCAAGTCATGGGAAACATTAACCTTTTCTTGTCGTATTCTTTTTTATGGCAGGTGCTCTAATTTACCAATATTTTGCAAAACAATCAGTTATCTTCACTATCTGAATTTTAGACAGTAAAATTTTATATAATGATATTTGGTATTAATTTGTATAGATATAAACCAAAATGAACTTAAGTAACAAATGGATAATGTCTTCTGAACTTAGTTCTGGAGAGCAGAAGCATTACAGTATACATCCCAGGAAAGAAGTTTGGGGATGATATTGATCAACAAATGACTTTTCCAGTTCAGTGCAGTTTTTGGTCTTTTGTTGATATGGATTCATCTTCAAGGAGAAATACACAGAAAAACAACACTCTAATTGGTCAGATGGTAAGGTATACACTTAATTGTTAGAATGTCATTCAGGGAATTTTGTTGCAGATTTTAATATATCATATTTCTTCTTCTTTTTTTTTTTTTAATTGTGGTGCTGGGGATTGAACCTAGGACCTTATGCATGCAAGGCAAGCACTCTACAAACTAAGCTATATCCCCAGTCCTTGATATATCTTCTTAATGTTTTGTTATTAACCCATGTTTATATCAGGTTTTTATAAACAATAATAACCCAATTGTTTAAATTTTTATTTTTAAATTTGTGTGTGTGTGTGTGTGTGTGTGTGTTGTGCTGGGAATTAAACCCAGGGGCTCATGCATGCCAGACTAGTGCTCTACAATGGAGTACATCCCCATCCCTGATTTTAGGATTTTTTTAGTCATGCAAATCAGATGTCTTCTTAGTAGAAATTTGAATCAGTAACTGGAAAGTCTTCAATAATGTGTAAGATAATACTCAACGAAGAGCTTTATTTAAAAAAATAAAACTCTTTACAAGTTCCCAGGCTATTTACATATTGCTTTAAATTGTAATTGATAAAATATTTGACATTTTGAACAATAAATTATATATAATAATCAATTTATAATTAATTATTTCCAAATTGTGAAAATTCTGTAGCTTACTGTCTGCCTGTTGTTACCTTTTGGTTTGATGTAGGATTGCAGCTTGATTCCAGCTAACCTTGTAGAGACATTCGGATTACTGATTAACTGCAATGAATCATCTCCTTGCCACCCACATTTTCCTACTGTGCAACATACTTTAAAGAAAGCTATTGATCCTGAAGGGCTATTTTATTTTGCTTCTAAACAGTTCACAACTGAAGATTTTGAAAAGGTAAAGGTAGATACAGTGGTTATCCAGAAATGCATGTATTAACGTTTCCAACTTTAATAGAAGTCTCTTTGAGCATTCTTCATGTAGGATTCTTTTATTCCAAGTGCTTCCAGATTTTAAACACTTTAAGGCCATTTATAAAAATCATTTAGGATTATGATTAAATAAACAACTATGTAAGGAAATAGATATTAAAATATTGAGTTTAAGCTGGGCACAGGACATGTGCCTGGAATCCTTGTTACTCAGGAAGTTGAGGCAGGAGGACTGCAAGGTCAAGGCCAACCTGGGAAAATAGCAAGACTTCATCTTAAAAAAAAAAAAAAAAAAAACCACCCCAAATGTCTAAACTGTGGAAATTATTCTTTGAACCACTGTCCAAAATCACTAGGGCTTTGAAAAAATAAAAAACAGCCTTTCTATAGAAAATAAATAGCCTTTCTACAGAAAATAAATATATATATTTATATATATTATTTATATTTATTATACTTATATATATTTATATATAAGTATAATAAATATATATAAACAGCCTTTCTACAGAAAATATATATTATTTATATTTATTATACTTATATATATATAAATATATATATTTACACACTTTTTTTTCACATTTTACAGACCATTCAAAGGGATTTCCCTCATATGAATATTTTCAGAATTCTTACTTTCAGTAATATGTAGTATGACTCACTAACCCATAATGTCCTAACATTATGAAAACATTTGTGGAATATTCAGAAAACTCAGGAGCAAATGATATAAATTTAGTAATCATTGTCATAGTTATTAAAGGCTTACAGATATCTATAACTTTTAACTGTTCAGAAATCTATTTATAGTAAAATATCTGGGCAGCACAGGTGATGTTTGGCAGTGGAAACCTGGCTATTAAAATTTTTTTTCTTCATACCTGTTTTCCTTATAAGCGTATTGCCTGGGTAAAAGGCTAAAAGGCAAGGTGGACTTTAAAATGGATTAAAAACATTACTTGTTCACATAGACTAGAATAGAAAATGAATAATATTTATGATATAGTAAGGGTTTTTTTTTCTTAGTACATAAGAATAGTTAGTTTCTAGGAATTGGGGCACTATATATAGACCCAGAGAAATTTTTGCTTATTTTTTCCTGAAAAGTGACAAAACAAAAAATTATGGATTTATTAGTCAGGTATGTAATGAATACCTCACATATATTAGCCTATTTCTGTTCTTTTATATTCACATAGAAATATAAAACTCTTTTTTAAATTATTATTTAATTGACATAAAAACAAGATACATGAAACAATTAAGGAACAACTCAAGCTAAGCTGAGTGGTGCCAACTATAAGTATTTTGGAATTCAGAAATGAAAATATCAATGTAGAATGCAAGAGCTGGGAAAACTTCATGGAGGAGGCAGGACTTTAGTTGGGCCTTAAGAAAAAGTAAAATTTAGATGGCAGGAAGAATGTATATTTTAAACAAGAATCACAGTAGGTGCAAAGACACAGAAGTTGAAATAAGTATGTATGGAAACTATGAGAAGATCAGCTTGAATAGTGTAAAAACTGAATTACGGATTCACAGGGATTTGGCAATTTACAGTAATCCAAGAAGCTCTCAGACAGAAGTTTAGTTGATTTGTCAGACTGTAACAAACAGTTTAGATGTTACTAGACAAATAAAATGGTGAAAATAGTTTGTTTGCAAGACAAATCTGTCTACCACACAAATCAGAGTGGGTTTGTTGCAGTCTGGGCTCTCCTGAAGGCAGACTGCATGTTGAGAAGGTGGAGTTTAGTGTGCCAATGTGTTTTAGGGAGTTCTATCAATACCTGAGGAAGGGATGAAGCCAGATTAGGCAGAGGGAGGAGTCAAGCTGCCATACAGGCCCAATGTTAGCTTCTGCTGGCCTACAAGGAGCTCTAGAGCTAAGGTGACCAATCAGAGTTGTTTAGCTTTGGACAAACAGAGAGGAGCTTCATAATGCCTTCCTTACTTCTGTGTCAACCAGTTATATGATGTGACCTGTCCTAAGTCAATCCCTGAAGGAGATGTCAGCTAGAAGCTATTACTGACAGCATTTCCAGTAGTTAGAGCAAGATATCCCCTAAGGGTCGATATAAGTGGTATATCATCATGCCACCATGGGATAAAACTTAGGGATATTGATGTTATTAATTAATATCAGTTGTATTATTATACAGTTATGAAGGCCTGGAGAGAATTGTGGTGCAAGGAGAATAAGGGCAGGACACATCCATACAGGTTATTTCCAATCCAGGATATAGCTATATACTTTTTTTTTTAAGAGGTTATATTTAATTATGAAGTCAAACAACAACAAGTGCTGGCGAGGATGTGGGGAAAAGGGTACACTTGTACATTGCTGGTGGGACTGCAAATTGGTGCAGCCAATTTGGAAAGCAGTATGGAGATTTCTTGGAAAGCTGGGAATGGAGCCACCATTTGACCCAGCTATTCCCCTTCTCAGTCTATTCCCTAAAGACCTAAAAAGAGCATGCTACAGGGACACTGCTACATCGATGTTCATAGCAGCACAATTCACAATAGCAAGACTGTGGAACCAACCTAGATGCCCTTCAATAGATGAATGGATTAAAAAAATGTGGCATTTATACACAATGGAGTATTACTCTGCATTAAAAAATGACAAAATCATAGAATTTACAGGGAAATGGATGGCATTAGAGCAGATTATGCTAAGTGAAGCTAGCCAATCCCTAAAAAACAAATGCCAAATGTCTTCTTTGATATAAGGAGAGTAACTAAGAACAGAGTAGGGACGAAGAGCAGGAAAAGAAGATTAACATTAAACAGGGATGAGAGGTGGGAGGGAAAGGGAGAGAGAAGGGGAAATTGCATGGAAATGGAAGGAGACCCTCAGGGTTATACAAAAGTACATACAAGAGGAAGTGAGGGGAAAGGGAAAAATAATACAAGGGGGAGAAATGAATGACAGTAGAGGGGGTAGAGAGAGAAGAGGGGAGGGGAGGGGAGGGGGGATAGTAGAGGATAGGAAAGGCAGCAGAACACAACAGACACTAGTATGGCAATATGTAAATCAATGGATGTGTAACTGATGTAATTCTGCAATCTGTATATGGGGTAAAAATGGGAGTTCATAACCCACTTGAATCAAAGTGTGAAATATGATATATCAAGAAATTTGTAATGTTTTGAACAACCAACAATAAAAAATTTAAAAAAAAAGAAAAAAATTTAAAAAAAGAAAAAAAAACAGCCTTTAAGCTATTTTTCATTATGATTTATAAACAGGGAGACTTCTTTTCATCTTTTAAAAATTCAACATAGTTTCCTGACATTGATATTTCGGATAAATTCTGTGTCCCATTGCAAATACACTTGCAATGCTTCTTAATAGATTATGTATATGCATGTGTGTCGCATTGTATATGTAATGAAGAAATCTTTATTTTTAACCTTTTTTTTCCTCCAAAACGTTGATTTAAAGTTGTTACTTATTACATGTTTAATATTCAGATTTTTCTGGGTGAAAATATGTTAGAGGTGAATTGTTACTTACTCATCAATAAATCAATAAAGACTTTCTTTCTTAAAATATATAAAAAAAAAGAGGTTATATTTAAAAATGCAAATATTATAGTTAATAGCAACTTATTATAGTTATTTTTCCCCTTTGGTTCTTGAATTGAAAAAGTAGAAAACAACTAGTATAGTGAAAAATCTGGAAATTATGCCATGAATACCGACTTAATAAGGAACTGGGACTCAGAAATTAAAAAAAAAAAAAAAAGAAAAGAAAGAAAGAAAAGAAAAAGACTTAGAGGGCTAGGATTATAGCTCAGTGGTAAAGAACCTGCCTCACATGTGTGAGACACTGGGTTCGAGCCTCAGCACCACATAAAAATAAATAAAATAAAGATATTGTGTCCATCTACAACTAAAAAAAAATATTAAAAAAAAAAAAAACAGAGAAAACAGTGGCAATCTTTGTGTTAAAGAACTATTCTCTATCTAAATCTTCCTGAATCTCCAGGGCCCACCATCACAGCAGTTAATGTAGTGCCTCCCTCACTTCAAATGTTCAGTTAAGTGTTCTTTAAAAGGAAGGAAGGGAAGTTAGAAAACTAAGTAGCTCTAGGGCCAGAAAAAGAAAGATATGTGGAAATAAACTGTCAAAGAAAACTATTCAAAAGAAAAATGAACTTCTGAGGGAGATGAGCCTTTCTCTCACTGAAAGACTAGTCAGTCATTCAAATACATTATACTTGCACCACGAGGGAGATTATTCTAGATAAACTTTAATATTTTTTTCAAGCATAAGACTGATTTAAAATACCTAGTGACTTTGAGATGGCCTCAGATATTTACTTAATTTTTTAAAATATGCAAACTTCAAAATATAAGATACCAATAAACTTTGGATTTTTGTTATAGATTCTATAATAAAACTTACATCTCTTAAATTTTTCACTTTTAATTTAGCTACTGGCTTTTGCAAAGAATTTGGATGTAGAATTCAGCTTGGAGGCAGAAAGAATGATTCATGGCTATTATCTAGCCAGTCGCAGAATCAGAACAGATTTTATATATGGATCAAAACTGTCAGCATCTGCATTAAAATATTTGTAGGTATTCAGTTCAAGATTTTAAAGACAGTATTGACTTTTAAGTGGTGTATTTAACTTATGTTATCCATTTGTTTCTCTGTTTGATCGCTGATTGGTTGGTTTATAATATACCTTGTCCCAAAAGAATTTAAGAGGACTTAATAATTTATTTTTACTCATATGAACCTCTAATAATTCTTTTCACTAAGTTTATTTTACTAGGTCCCTTGTATAATATGTGTCTGAGAAAAATATCAAATGATTGTTTTTTAAAATGTGGATATTTATAGTCTAAGTATTTTGTAGTAGGACCTAGAAGATTTCTTAAATATATTGTTCCTGTACTTTTAAATACTTTAATGGACTCATCTGTTACTGTTCCTTAAAATGTTAAAAAGTAATCTTTATTATAAAAGTACAGACATTATAAAGTCTAAAATGACAAGTATCCTAACTCTACCTATTCTTATAATCACTGATATCCCAGAGATAGTCACTGTTGACAGTTTTTATGTATTCTTCCAGAAATTATCCATTCAAATGCTAGCATATACATAATATATAATTTAAATATGGTATGTAAAATATATTTTATTCAACTGTTATATTTTAAAGTTAATGTGTTAAGCAGGGTGCAGTGGCATTCTCCTGTAATCCCAGCAGTTCAGGAGGCTGAGGCAGGAGGATCACAAGTTCAAAGCTAGCCTCAACAACAGTGAGGTGCTAAACAATTCAGGGAGATCCTGTCTCTAAATAAAATTCAAAATAGGGCTGGGCATGTGATCGAGTGCCCTGAGTTCAATCTCTGGGACCCCCCCCAAATTAATGTATTAAACATATATATAAGCTTATAAATATATACATCTATATTTTCATGTGGATAAATATGCTTTTTTGCCCAAATAGAATCAGGCATATACAGAATTACCTTATTCCATTTTAATAGTTACATCATTAAATGTAACTTAATTGTGATGTGTGGACATTGTGATATGCTTTTACCATAATTTATATAGTTATATAATTTATATAGTTATATAATTCTCTAATTACTATATAGTTATATAGTAATTAGAGAATTACTTCATTTGATACAATATTAAAGTATAATCTCCAGCATGGTACAGTGATATAGGTATGTAATCCCAGCAGCTCCAGAGGCTGAGGCAGGAGGATCGAGAGTTCAAAGCCAGCCCCAGCAACAGTGAGGTGCTAAGCAACTCAGTGAGACCCTGTCTCTAAAGAAAATACAAAATAGGGCTGGGGATTTGGCTCAGTAGTCAAATGCCCCTGAGTTCAATTCCCAGTACACCTCCCCCCCTGCCAAAAAAAAAAAAGTATTATCTCCAACAAACTATAAGATGGATCAGGAGTAAAATAATCCACTAAATGAATGAATGAATGAATGAATAAACTTGTTATTTCTGTAGCATTAAATAAAACAGATGATGGGCTGGGGTTGTGGCTCACTGGCAGAGTGCTTGCCTAGCACATGTGAGGCACTGTGTTCGATTCTCAGCACCACATTAAAATCAATAAATAAATAAAATAAAGATATGTGTCCATTTATAACTAAAAATATTTAATAAAAAAACAGATGAAAAACTGTCAGGAAAGATCAAGAAGAGGTCTATGATATGTTTAGTTAATTTGTTTCAGCTGTATCTTCAAATAGCTGAAAAATGCAAAAGATAAGCCTAGTGATGAACTTTTTTTTTTTTTTTGGTACTGGGAATTGAACTTGGGGCACTCAACCACTGAGTCACATCCCTAGCCCTATTTTGTATTTTTTTTAGAGACAGGGTCTCACAGAGTTGCTGAGCACCTCACTGTTACTGAGGCTGGCTTTGAACTCGTGATCCTCCTGTCTCAGCCTCCTGAGCCACTGGAATTACAGGCATGTGCCACTGAGCCTGGCTAAACATTTTTAAAATAACAACCAATTACAAAATGCTTTCCATTTTATGAAGTAATATTTAAAATACTAAGATCAAATTGTATTGCTTTAAACTTCTAAAAGTCCTGTTTCCTCACAAGAAGGGTAGCCAGGATGGTGAAGGGCTGAAAATTATGTCTCATGACTTACTATTTTTTTCATTATTTTCCTGACACTGGGGATCAAACCCCGCTCTACTACTGAGCTACAACCCCAACCCTTATGACATAGTAAAGGTACTAGGAATATATAACTTGGAAAAAAGAAAACATGGGGCAACTATAAAAGTTACATGAATATTTTTAAAATATTTTTTTTAGTTTTTGATAGACTTTTTTTTTATTGGTTGCTCAAAACATTACAATGCTCTTGACATATCATATTTAAAAAGAGTTTTATTTATATGTGGTGCTGAGAATCAAACCCAGAGCCTCACACATCCCAGGCAAGTGCACACTACCACTGAGCAACAGCCCCAGCCTATTTACATGAATATTTGAAGGGCCATCACATGTGAGAGGTATTATGCTTGTTCTATAGTTTAAAAAGATAGAATAAGAGACCAGTGAGTGACAATTGCAGTGAAATCAATTTCACTTTAGATGTATGTAAGCTTTGTAGGTTAGCTGCAAAACTTTCAAATGCCTTTACTTAGTATTCTTGTTTTATAGCTGAATTCCAAAACATTCTCATAAGTCAATTTATATAAAATCACATGGCTAGAAAATTTTAGAGAACCAGCATAGGTTTTCTGATTCTCAAGTCCAGGAGTCATTCAGTTATATTACATCATCTAATGAAAGCTTAAGGGAGATCTTCCAGATAATAGAAGCTGGTTAAATTTTTAAAAATAGAGGAAAAGATTGCCTCATGAAACAGTAAATGCTAGAAGTTTAAGAAACGGGATAATGAGTAGTCCAGGATGTTTTAGAGAAAATTCACTTATCTGATAGGAATTTGAAATTTGAACTCAGAGATCCTTTCCACTTTTGAAATTGCAAGATTATACAAAGACATCAGATAGATGAAGAACTAGATGAAAACATTAAGGATGTGTCTTAAAGATATTTAGTTAGGTTTACTTTCCCAACTGCATATTTATCTGAACAGAACTTAAGTGGTAGTAGTTGGGTGGAATGATGAGGAGCAGCTAGGATAGAAACCAATTCTTTGATAGTGAGGATATTGCTTGTCCTGGAATAGTCTATAAATAATAGTCTATTAAAATATTCTAAAAAGGTCTACAATTTTTAAAGTAAGAATATGTTGTTCTTGGGGCTGCAGATGTGGCTCAAGTAGTAGCCGAGCATGCGTGAGGCACTGGGTTCGATTCTCAGCACCACATAAAAATAAAATAAAGATAAAAAAAAAATAGTGTTCAAAAAAAAAAAAAAAGAATATGTTGTTCTTTCATCTGTGTGGTCATATTCTTATGTGTCTTGTTTATTTCTACCAAAATATATTTTTGTAATATCAACATATTTTTACTGGCATCAATTTTGTTTCTTAGAGTTTCCTTATCTGAAGCCCATGCACGACTGAATTTAAGGAATAAAGTGCTCAAAGAAGATGTACTAATTGCAGCTTTATTATTTGAAACATCTCTCACATTGAAATATGGTAACGTATTAAATTATTAATGATCTCTACAAATAATTTTATTTAAACTTCAATATTCTTCATTTATTAAATTGTTAAATATATTTTAAATATTAGTTCCTTATTATGCATGAGTGCGTCAATACTTGAACTTTGGTGCTGCTTAAAGAATTCTAGGGGGGAAGGAGTACTTATTAATACAAGACATGAAATGATTTAAGTTTATATTCCCTTTAAAATAACATGCAAACCAGATTTGGTGGCACATGCCTGTAATCCCAGCAACTTGGGAGGCAAGCCTGAGACAAAAGGATTAAAAAGTTGGAGGACGGCCTTCGAAATTTAGCCAGACCCTGTCTCAGAAATAAAAAAAAGAAAAAGGGCTAGGCCTGTACTTCAGTGGTAGTGTCCCTGGGTTCAATCCAGTACTGCAAAAATGAATTTTAAAAATAATAAATAAAATAAATAATAAGATAAATAAAACATGCAACATTTGCCAAGCAGTCCCCCACAGTGGAGTTAGGCACATAGCCAAAATAACCACCTTCTCTGAATTGGAAAATTTAATACTGACTACTACACTTAATCATTTGAAATGAATGGCAATTACTATGTTTTTGCTCTTAAAATTACAAAAGAGCTCTTAAGGATGAGTAAAGTTAATCTCACAAAGTTTTTGTGAATTAGATAATAATAGTGATGAGAGATATAATGCTTCAAACCAGATTTTTGTTCCAGGCCTGGGACTTGAAAGTATTAATAGTAGTAGCTTTGCTGTGGATGTTTAGTGTTCAAATTTGCTTTAAATAGCTGGGCATGGTGGCAAGTCCTATAATCCCAGCAACTCGGAGGCTGAGACAGGAAGATTTCAATCAAGTTCAAGACCAGCCTCAGCAACTTAGCAAGGCCCATATCAAAATAAAAAACAGGAAGGGCTGGGGATATAGTTCAGTGGTTAAGTACCCCTGGATACAATTCTTGATACCAAAATAAATAAACAAACATAAATTTACTTTACATTACATTTATATTGCATTAATTTCCAAATTAATTCCAAAGATCCATTAAAATGTTACAAACTTTTCTATAATTGTCTAAATCAAAATTATTTTTTAAAAATATTTTTTTAGACATTGACAGGCCTTTATTTTGTTCATGTATTCATATGCGGTACTCAGAATCGAACCCAGTGCCTCACACATGCTAAGCAAGTACTCTACCACTGAGACACAATCCCAGCTCCTACATCAAGTATTCTTTACCTGGAATCCATGGATGTTTGGAATCCTAGAGGCTTGCAGATCCTTAAGTTATATACAAATTTGGGTATGTGTGCCCCTTTCTAGGAAGAGATTTTTAAGTTTTATTAAGTGTGCCTTAGAGATTCATGACTGTCATTCTGAATTTGGTTTTATTAACCAAAAGATAGAAAAACTGATTCCCAACCAATACTAAATAATAGGAAGGATATGTAAATATTTTAAATTTGCTTTATCTTTACATTCTTCTTTTAATCTCTATTTAAGACAATATTTCATCAAATCCAAGATACATTATTTTATCTATCATTAAGGGAAAAAATGCTGCAAACTTTATAATGATTTGCCATCAGCTGTTACGTCACATCTGAGTTTCAGTGATAAAACAAAAGTATTGTGGTGCACACCTGAAATGCCAGCAGCTTAGAAGGATGAGACAGGAGGATTTTGAGTTCATGAGGCCCGAAGCAATTTAGCAAGACCCTGTCTCAAAATAAAATATAAAAAGGGCTGGGGATTTGGCTTAGTGGTTGAGTGCTCCTGGGTTCAATCCCTGGTACAAAAAGAAAACAATCAAAACAAAAAAGTAAGTCTGTGAATTTAAAAACGATGGTTGAAAGGGCTGAAAATGTAGCTCAGTGGTAGAGTGTTTGCCTAACATGTGCAAGACCCTGGGTTTGATCCTCAGTTCTTGGAAGAAGAAAAAAAAAAAACACTTAAAAACTAAGGTTTGAATAACTATGATTTTATAATATTAAGAATTCCTGTAGTAGAATGACAGAATATTTTTACTTTGTGACTATTTTGTCAAGACTTCCATGAAGGGGCTGGAGTTATGACTCAGCGGTAGAGTGCTCGCTAGCACATGTGAGGCCCTGGGTTCAATCCTCAGCACCACATAAAAAATAAAGATATTGTGTCCAACTACAACTAAAATATTTTTTAAAAACCCAGACTTCCATGAAGGGGCTGGGTTGGTGGCTCAGTGGTAGACCACTTGCCTAGCATGTGTGAGGCACTGGATTTCATTCTTAGCACCGCATATAAGTAAAATCTTAGGTCTATTGACAACTAAAAAATTAAAAAAAAAAGATTTCCATAAAGCATTTGAAGGAATCAAATGTGAAAAAAAATTTGCTTTTGTTTTCATAATGACTTTCAGTTAGATATATAATTTTAAATCTTAATGTTAAGAGATTATTAAATATTACTTTAAACACAGAGGAAAATGATTCCAAGGGATGATTTTCTTAGGTAGAATTGACATGAGAAGAATAGGCAGTCTTTATACAAGTCTTTAACCAAGCCACACTTGGGTTTCCTTGTGTGTTCCTAGTGTATGTTACCTTATTAAAATTAATTTACTCTTTTTACATTATTTGTATACTATAAAGTAAAACTATGATGGTATTTTGAGATAAATGATAATTTAAGGATTGATATATTAAAATTAGTATGTTATGTGGTGTTATACTTTGTAATTATCATTATATGAATTCAATATTCATAATTATTTTGTCCAGTCAGTACATCAACCAATTTTTGTTGTTTTTTGTACCAAGGATTGAACTCAGGGGTACTTGACCACTGAACCACATCCCCAGCCCTATTTTGTATTTTGAGACAGGGTCTCACTGAATTACTTTAGTGCCTCACTGTTGCCTCAGCTGGCTTTGAACTTGTACTTCTCCTGTGTCAGCCTCCAATGCCACTGGGATTACAGGCATGAGCCACCGTGACTGGCAACAATTTCTTTTTAATATATTTTTTTTTAGCTGTATAAAATATTTTTAGATGGACACAATACTTTTATTTTTTTATTTGTTTATTTTTATGTGGTGCCAGGGATAGAACCCAGTACCTCACACATGCTAGGCAAGAGCTCTACCACTGAGCCACAACCCTTGCCCCTCAACAAATATTTGATTGACAACTAGGTAATAGGTTCCTGATATACAGTGGTAAAAAAACAGTCTATACTCAGTTGTAGTCTATAGCCTAGTGAGAGAACAGATATTAAAAAGTTAATATACTGGGATTGGGGCTGTAGCTCAGTGGCAGAGTTCTTGCCTAGCACGTGTGAGGCACTGAGTTTGATCCTCAGCACTGCATTAAAAAAATAAACAAATTAAGGCATACTGTCCATCTACAATTACAAAAAAAATTTATAAAAAATGTAAATATACTAATATATAATACAAATTGAGATGGATGTTATGAGGAAAATATACAGGCTGTTATAAGCAAGAATAATAAAAGGGGGTCTGGGGTTGTAGCTCAGTGGTAGAGCACTCACCTAGCAAGTATGAGGCACTGGGTTCAATCCTCAGCATCACATAAAAACAAACAAACAAAAAACAGAGATATTGTGTCCATCTACAACTAAAAAAATTAAAAAAAAAAAATGACAAAAGGGAGGGGCTGGGGATGTGGCTCAAGCGGTAGCGCGCTCGCCTGGCATGCATGTGGCCCAGGTTCGATCCTCAGCACCACATACAAACAAAAGATGTTGTGTCCGCCCTAAACTAAAAAAATAAATAAATAAATATTAAAATTCTCTCTAAAAAAAAAAATATAAAAGGGACTGATTTTGACTAGATTTTAGGGTGACATCTTTAAGGAGGTAATAGTTATTTAACTTGAAATCCAGATAGAGGGAAACTATATTGTGTAGGTATTTTTCAAGAAAATGAATGAGGGCCAGGCTAGGGCTAGTTACTATAAAGCCTCACACACTTGTGGTAGAAAATTGGGTTTCTATTCCAAGTATAACAGGAAGCAGAAACCTAATATGATCAATTATATATAAGTATCATTATCTATAGTGGATCTAAAGAATAGATTGGAGGGGGTAAAGGGTGGAAAAAGATGTTAGGAAATTATTGTCATAGTCCAGGCAATTGATATAGGAGCTTTGATTAGGTGGAAGCAGTAGAAATGGAAAGTATTGGGTTAGAGATACATTTTGGATGCAAAAAACAATAGGTTTTGCTCATGAACTAGAGTTAGAGTTGGGTGCAGGAATAGAGAGAGGGAAAGGGAGGAATTAAGGAAAATTCCAAAGTTTCTGCCTTGAGCAACCAGGTATCAAGACTGGGAATAAAAGAGATTGGGAGAAAAATCAAATTATAGTAAGTTTGTGATATTCTACAGAGAAATCAATACACAAACTGGAATTTAGGACAGTTCTAACCTAGAAATATAATTTAGCAACCATCAGCATAGAGATGGTATTCAAAGCCAAGAAGTGGATGAAATCACCTTAGAGGGACTAAAGTGAATTCCAATATTCAGAAATGGGGTCGACGAAGGTGAACAAAGATAGAACCAGTAGCTAGAATGTAGGAAGAAAATGAAGTGTTACAGAAGCCAAAAGAGGGCTTCCAAAGGGAACAGATTGGCCAATTGTATCATAGCCTACTAAGATTTGATAATCCAGAGGTTGGTGGGTGGCCATGATCAAAACTATTTAGAGAGCTGTTGAGTGGGAATAGGTATGGAGATAGCAGAGAACTTTGAGATGCTGACTATGAAGACAAGCAAAGAAACTGAGCATTAGCGGAAGAAGAATGTGGGGTCCGAAAAGGGATTATTATCTTTTTAATACATAAGGTATTAAATCATATGATATGCAGTAATACTTCAGAAAGATGGCAATTCGAGGCTTGGTGGTACACACCCATAGTATAAGACCATGCTGAACAACATAGCAAGACCCCATCCATGCATGATGGTGTACACCTGTAATTCCAGCAGCTTGGGAGGCTGAGGCAGAATCTCAAATTCAAAACCAGCTTTTTAGCAATTTAGTGAGACTGTAAGCAACCTAGTAAGACTGTGTCTCAAAAATTTTTTTTAAAGGGGGAGAGGGTTGGGGATGACTCAGTGGCTAAGCACCCCTGAGTTCAACTCTGGTACCAAAATAGAAAAAAATTAAAAAAAAAAAAAAAAAAAGGATGTTGGGGGTAGGATGAAATTGAAGGAGTTAAATCCTTAAAAAATGAGAGGGATCAGTCAAATCCAGAGCACATTTAAGAATTAGACTCATACAGGTCACTTGTTCAATTTGAAAAGAAAATGGATAATCAGGTAGGTTTGTAGATTTGGGGCTTCTGTTTATTCTCCAGTGCATCATATTGGTATTCAAAAAAATATGATTTCAATGATTAAAGTGCTTGCCTAGCACGTGAGAAGCACTGGGTTTGATTCTAAGCACCACATATAAATAAATGAATAAAATTAAGGTTCATCAACATCTAAAAAATGTATTAAAAACTTTCACCATTTCAGTTGAAAATGAATTATTATTTAGCATTTTAAGGAATATTTCTCATTTATACTATATTTCCTTCTTCATTTAGGGGCCACTGTATTTTGTGTTGCTCCAAATGCAGTATTTCCCTTTGAACTGTACAATGAAGAGTACTTACAACAAAGGGATCTCTATCTGACTCAGTGCCAGAAACAGCTCCAACAGTTTATTGCCACATTCGGACCTGGAACAGCTGTTTTCACTAACGATGAATAAGCAATTTGAGAAAAATTTCCTTTTGATTTCAACTTCAGCAATGGGAAAGTGTATTCGAGTAACTTTAAAGCAATGCTTCAGATAGTACTGTATACAGGAGTACATCAGAATGCCTTTTAAAAAACAAATCATGGTCCCCACAAAAATCAACTGCTACTGGGATATACACTAATCCAAACTTCTAAAACAAATTACCATAATTTCAAATTTTAGGAGAGAAATATGGATGATTAAGATGATGAAGTCACCAAAGAGAATCCTAAGTTTCTGGTTAGCCCAGAGTATGTGATAAAAAAAATAAGGACCTTACAATGTGAAAAATGGTTAACATGGAATTCACTCTATTTGTCATAAGATGGCAATAACCTTATTTACAAAATTTTTTAAAAATATTTTTTTAGTTGTAGTTGGACACAATACCTTTATTTATTTTTATGCGGTGCTGAGGATGGAACCCAGGGCCTCGCACGTGTTGGGTGAGAGCTCTACCACTGAACCACAACCCCCAGCCCCCTACAAATTTTTAAAAAAATATTATTTGCTTGTAATTTTTATTTAAATATTTTTTAGTTGTAGATGCATACAATATCTTTATTTATTTTTATGTGGTGCTGAGGATCGAACCCAGTGCCCCACATGTACTGGGCAAGCGCTCTACCACTGAGCCACAATCCCAGCGCCCCCTACAAATTTTTAAGCCATTTTTTTCCCCTTATACTTGTGAACCTGCCGAATTGATTAACTAATTTGTATAACCTGAAGCTTCAAATTTAAGGCCTTTTTAGGGCTGGGGTTGTAGCTCAGTGGTAGGGCACTTGCCTAGCATGCATAAGGCACACATAAAGGTCCATCAACAACTAAGGCCTTTTCAGCTTATACACATATGCATTACATGAACATTGTTTTAGAAGCCCTAAATTTGGAGTCAAAAAAGCCTTGGAAATTTCTATATATAAACTGTGGTAAAAAAAAAAAAAAAAATGTAACCAGAGAACAAGTTTGCCCCTAACTTTAAGGTTCCCTAATGCAATGAAACCAATATGCAAACCCATTCTTCATTTTTATGTATTGTTGAAGTGAGGGCATGTCTTACTCCATCTAGGCTGACCTCAAATACCAGAAGACATAATCCTCCTGTTTACCAGCAACCTGGCATTGAGAGTTACATTCTTTGACCATTTTGGTTTTTGTGACAAGGTTTCCTTGTCACCCAGGCTGGTCCTCAACTTCAGTAACTGCTAGTCATTTTGTTCTGAATAAGTAGGGACAATAAAATCCTCCAATCCTTTTCAGTTCTAATTACTTCTACTTGCTGGGTGCACACCTGTAATCCAAGCAGCTCAGGAGGTTGAGGCAGGAGGATTGAAAGTTCTAAGCCAGCTTTAGCAAAAGTGAGGTGCTAAGGAATCGTCAGACTCTTGTCTCTAAATACAAAATAGGGCTGGGGATGTGGCTCTATGGCCAAGTGCCCCGGGGTTCAATCCCCAATACCCACCCCCCAAGAAAAATTATGAATGAAGAATGTATCACACCAAGAGCCACCTTATTAACCAAGATCTAATTCTTCAAAACTGACAATCCAGGGCTGGGGTTGTGGCTCATTGGCAGAGCGTTTGCCTAGCACAGGTGAGACACTGGTTCGAACCTAAGCACTGCATTAAAATAAATAAATAGATAGATAAATAAATAAGGGCATGCTGTCCATCTACAACTACAACAAATTGAAAAAAAAAAAAAAAAAAAAACTAAATCCAAAATCTCACAATCCAAAGCTTACTTAACCATATAGCTGGAGGGCTCCCTAACACACTATAGGAAGGCCATTCACTATGATTGAATACCAACCAGTGCCAGCAATATATAATGTTTTCAGCAGGCTAAGCTAGTTTTCAACAAAATATATAATACTGTTGCTAACTAAGAGCCTTGTTTTGTGCCTTTTCATGTACTATATTTCACTTTTCTGGCTCTGTGGGGTGAGGCAAAGCCATACTGTTACCTTAGATCAATACAACAGTCTCAGCTTATAGGGAAAAAAAGCAATTTTTAACTTAAAGACAACTTAATTGCTATTTAGTACTAAAGGAGTTTAGAAGATTCCAACCATCTTTCAGGCACCATAGCCATTACTATCTTCCCAGCTGCCTACAGTGACAGTCACTATCCACAGATGAGCTACTTAACGAGAACTATATCAAAAGTATGTTAAAAAACAGAACTGATGAATGACTAGGAGAAAAAAACTATTTAAAAAGAAAACAATATTGCCAAGAACAATTAAAAATTGTCACACATGTATTTTACCACATAATTTATTGTTTATTAATATCAAATAAAAATTTCATAGTTTGTTTCTATTTGTTTTCTTCATAAATTCTTTTTTTTTTTCCTTTCACAATGTTGCATGCCACACCTCTGGAAAATAAGAAAGCAACAGTGAAAATCACTTTTACCCAAATTCAGAAACTCAAGCTCAATATCCTCAAAAAAAAAAAAATAATAATAATGCTAAGAAAAGGAAAACACACCCCAAATATGCAAAGGCAACTTAAAAAGAAACTGGTCCCAGTCTTTTGGAGTTCAAATGCTTCTGAGCCATCAAAATATGTGGTGCTTGAGGCTGGGGATTTAGCTCAGTTGGTAGAGTGCTTACCTTGCATGCACAAAGCCCTGGGTTCAATCCCCAGCACCACCAAAAAAAAAAAAAAAAAAAAAAAAAGAGAATAAGAAGAAAAAAGGATGTGGTGATTGAGAAGTCACACTTACTTGAGGCAAGGATGTATTTTTAAACACTACATCAAAAGGACTGGAGCATTCATTGATAGCTGCCTATATGCAGAAGAGAAAGAGAAAGAACATTTCACTCATTTCAACAAAAACAGTATATTTCAGTAATTCACATAATCAATATATATTACTGGCACCTCAGTCTTAAAATTATTTCTTCAAAGAAAACCCTCAGCTGGGTAAACGGCAAAAATTTGTCATCACTGTGCCAGTGGTTAAATCGATCTGTGTCAAGAATATATTACACATTTTGGTTTAGACTATCACAAAGAAAAAGAAAAGCACACACTATGGTACCGTGTTACATGTCAAATGTGGTCCTACTCATTTTCTTCAGTCATCTTCTATGACAAGTTTTTAAGAGCATTTGTTCCAACCACCTTCATACATCTTCATGCCACTGGATGTTGTACCTAGAAACAAAAATATTCAATTGTGAATTCTCATACTTCTATTTGGCACCTTATGTGTGGCAAGAGTCCAATGAGAATTTCATTCTTGTCAGAAGCATAAACACAATCATATTTTACAAACTAGCTCTCAAGTCATAATTCCATAAATCAGATTCTTTACAAGCTAGAAATGTTGAGTTATTAGTAAGGGCAGGAAAATCTGCAGAAACTGTTTTTTAATAACTGTGGCAGCAGTATTGATTTTAAGACAGGATGGACTCTTGTGAATATCAAAGCCATTGCTTTTCTGTCTCAAAGCTTGACAGGATGAACTATGAGCAAGGGTAAAGGTTAGATGTACAGAAAAAAGTGTGCAGACCTTCATCTAAAAACATTACAACGGCAAATCTAGTAGTTTTAGGGCAAGGATACCTATGTTGGCAAGTTGACTGAAAGTGCACTAAGTAGTGCTAAGGAATGGCCAGAGTCACAAATCATGTCCTACAGCACCCCAAGAGGATAAATCACTGAACCAGACAGCTACTGGAAATGATTTATGAAGACATGTAAAACTGGAACTTGCAAAACAATTTATCAATTTCAAGTCTTTAATGTTTCACACAATCAATATTAGGAAAACAATATAAACTTGGTAAAGAATAGTTCCAAAATGAAAAATTGTTTAATTTACAGAGAGTTCATGCATTTTTAAAACTTAGCGAAGATCTAGAAATGCATGTTATTAACGAAATTGCAATCTACATCACTCCCTCAAACAACAACAAAACACCCCAGACTCACAAAATTCCAGATGGTGGGTACCTGTGGGTGGAAGGCAGGAAGCAAACAGCAACTAGTGGGATACGTTTATGAATATTTAGCTTTTTAAAGAGGTAACATGTTTTTTCCTAATCTCCCAGCTGTAGACTGGAATCTTCTGTGTAATGTCCAGAAACACACATTTCCATGTAAACGCAAGATCTATGTGTACAGTAGGCATTTGTGGCCCAAAGGCCTTCCATACTTCCACGTTCTGTTATCCAGCTTCAAAGCCTTTTATATTTACAAGGGCGATTCAGGAACAAATGCCAGAATTCTACAAATACGTTGAGATCAGTGGTTAAGCGGCGCTTACTGCTTTTTCCAAACCCCTCGATTTTGTACGGTTAAGTGTCTTTAGCATTTAAAAGAAAATAATCTTTATAAAATGCCCCCTTAAGGAAAATGAAACCGCCCACTCAAGGGAGCCTGAAACCTCCAAAGTCGAGCTTTGCTGGGGACTAAGGGGAATCGGTCGAAGGTGCGGGGGTGGGGGAGTGGGGGGTTACGAAGCCGCAGGACGTTCCTTCCTCAACTCTCCCGGGTCACAGAAGACCCTTTCGAAACCAGTGTTTACTGTGGAATAAGATCAACTAAGGCCCGCAGGTAGTTACTTATAAAACGCAACTACGCGAACGACACGAAGGGAACTCTCTAGGCCACGTCCACAGGGAGGAGCGTTACGTAACCTCCAGCGTCCAGCCCGCGGCCGCTGAAGGCTCGGTGCGCTAGGGTAAAGCACCGACGCGGCCGGCACCCACAAGGCGGAGGAACTTGGTACGGAAGAGAGGAGAGACTAAGATCCCGAGGACTCTCACCTCGAAGAACCCGGCACCGGGCCCACAGGCTCCTTCACCACCCGGCCACCATGGCGAAAGAACACCTCCCATTCTCCGCGGCTGCGCGGAAAAGGAAGAGCTGCGAAACCGCACAGCTCTTAGGGACCGGTCCTGGTCCCGCCCCTTCCGGCTCTGGGCCCCGCCCCTCCGTGGGGCTGTAGTGAGAGTAGGGGAGGCCCTACTTGTGCAGTCATGCAATGTGGGTGTCTCTGCAGGTGTTCAGCAGTGTAAGCTTTTATTGGGGGACTTTGTAACTTCCCTAGAGGCCTTTAAGGCCCATGAATACCTCAGCTAGGGCTATTATATTGAATATGCAAATGATGAAGTTACAGGTTTATAATAATGCTCTAAAAAAGAAAGGTCTCCTGTTCATAGTACTATGTTTGCTTGGTGTTCTATACCCTCATATATTTCAATATTTAAAAAACTGGTGTTGCTGGGGGTGGTGGCGCACGCCTTCAAAACAATTCAAAGCCAGCCTTAGCAATTCAGCGAGACCCTGTTCTCTAAATAAAACATTTTAAAAGGGCTGGAGATGCGACTCAGTGATTAAGTGCCCCTGGGTTCAATCCTTTTACCCAAAACAAAACAAAACAAAATTGGTGGTGTTGGATAGCCCCATTTAGAGTAAGCATTCTGGGATTGCTTTTACACACAGGGAAAATAAGTTACCAGAAAAAGGAGCTACAATTATTACTGTTTTTATTGGTAATAATGGAGTTTTTTTTTTTAAAAAAAAAGTTCATTAAGCAACTACCTATGTCGTTCATAATTTGCTACTGCTTTTCATGTTTTATTACACTTATTTTTCTTAATCATTGTTAAGTCCTGGCTGCAAAGCTCTAGGCTTAGCCTTGAAAAGAAAGGTTTGTGATCTTGTTGCCTGAAAGAACACATATAAAAGAAAAAAATTGAGCAGTTAAATCAGTAAAAGGTCATATCTCCTTTAAAAATAGGAAGTCTAAGAAATTAGTACATAATCCAGTACAAAGTATAAATTCGCTTCAAAGCAATTTATAGTATGAAAATCCAAATCTAGCAATACAAATTGTGAGGATACCTCTCTATATAGTGTTTTTGTTGTTGTTGTTTGTTTGTTTTGTTTTGTTTCTGAGTGGTCTGCAGGAGTTTAGAAATCATTGTTTTGGGTCCCCAATGCCAAATTGTTTCTTCTGTCAAGTAGTGGGAGTGGGGTTCAGCCTAACTCAGATTTGTTGGACCTGGCTCAATGTTGCTTCAACAACCTAATTTTGCAACAGGTGTTTTCCTGCAATTATGTGGGCAGCTCTGGTAGGAAATTAGAAAGGGGTAATTTTGGATGCTGAGCCCATAGATTAGAAGGCAACAATTTAGATAAATTCTTGATGCTACTGACTCCTGAGTCATGTTCGAAAGAACTGGAGACAAAAAACATGTCCTTGCTCTGTCACAATTCCGTTGGCATTAGTTTCTGTGTTGGTAACAGCTTTCTTCTGTTGCCTCTTAACCTGCAGGTGCTCAAAGGACATTCTTTAGTCCCTATTGCCAAGAGTTAATTGAGCTGGGTGGATAGATATGGAAGGGGTCATACTTTAATGACTTAATATATTCTTTCTTTAGACTGAATACAATTAAATACCATGACTAAAACTCAGGCGTTTTTAAACTACACAACTGCTCATTTTCAGGTTTTCATTTTAGGTCAGTTATTTTAATTGATTAATAATGGCATTAAATAAATGTCTCTTTCAACTGTAACAAAATACTCAGAATGAATTTTTTTAAAGATTTTTTTTTTTTAGAGATGGACATAGTATCTTTATTTATTTTTATGTGGTGGTGAGGATTGAGCAGAGTGCCTCCCATGTGCAAGGCAAGCGCTCTACCAGACTTGGCAGCTGTAACCCCAGCCCCTCAAAGTGAGTATTTTTTAAAATGAAGAGTATTGCTGGGTATAGTGGTGCACATCTATAATCCCAGCAACTCCAGGGGCTGAGCAAGAGAATTGCAATGTCAAGGCCAGCAACTTAGTGAGACCTTCTCTCAAAATAAGAAGTAAAAGGGGCTGGAATATAGTTCAGTGGTAAAGCAACCCTGAGTTCAATTTCTAGTATAAAAAATAAAAATGAAGATTACATTCCACATTATAAGAAATCTAAAGGTATTATAAGGTTGGTTAATTCAGCAGGTAGACAGATTAGAAGAACAGATTCAAAATTGTGTGTGTGTGTGTGTGTGTGTGTTTAACCACCAAAAGGTCCAGAGGCGGTGACATGAGTATACATTCATAAAATGGAATGAAAATCCTACTTTCATGTGGTAAACATATTTGCCCCATCTTCCATTCTATTTCCATCCATCTCTCCTTGAACCCCCTCTTTCCCTTCCCTCTCAATCTAGCATTTGAATCTAGACTTTGTGTTTCTTCTTCCTCTCCCTTGGGAACTTCCTTGGTTTTTCTTTTTTTGTGATCCTGGGGTTTGAACCCAGGGCACTATACACAAGAGGCAAGCACTCTACCAACTGAGCTATATCCCCAGCCCCTTCCTTAAGTTTTCTTCTGTTCATTGAGTTCATATTTCAAGTTTTCTCTTATGTAAAACTTAATGTTCACTCATGTGAGCTTTGCCCATAAAAATAAAGGATTTGGGGATTTAGAATTAACTTTCTCTTTCAGTCTATCATTTTCA